TACAGTTCACAGTGACAATGGACCTGCCTTTGTAGCAGAAGCAGTACAGATTTTAACTAAATCTCTTAATATTACCTGAAAATTCTACACCGCATACAGGCCACAAAGTTCAGGGGAAGTGGAGCGAACTGAATTGCACCCCAAAGGAACCCTAGCTAAGTTTTGCCAAGAAACTGGCCTCCTCTGGCCGGACCTACTGCCCCTGGCTCTCCTGCGTGCTCACTGCACACCTGGAACTCAAGGCTTTTCCCCTTTTGAATTACTATGTAAATGCCCTCCTCAGTGCCTAGGAAGCCTCCCAGGGAACCTACACCAGATAGGAGATAGGGGAGTAAGAGAACAGCTCCAAGCCTTAAGAGCCACCCTAAATAAGCTGCAGCAGTATACCATAGAAACAGCCCTAATCTCCTTAGGGACCCCAGTACATTCTTTCCAGGCTGGGGACTCACCCTGGGTCAGAAATTGAAAAAGGGACCACCTCAAACCTCAGTGGACTGGGCCCCACATTGCTGTTCTAACCACTCCTACTGCCCTCACAGTCGCAGGCATCACTCAGTGCATCCATCATTCAAGAGTGAAAAGGGCCCATAATCTGGACAAAGAACTACATCAATAGAAGGCCCAGCCAAACCTCCAGAATCCTCTCCACCTCCACATCTGACGATTACCCTCCAACTAATGAGCACCTGCACGCCGTGGATCCTGGCCCTCACCAAAATGGAATCTCTCAGCTTGGGCATTAAACTCTCAGCTGCTGCCCCCTCTGACTAAACTGTTCCTCAACAAGTTGCCCTTTCTATTGTCTACTGGGTAATTGTAAATTGTTTTGCTGTGCTTACCCGTCTCTCCTAGCTGAATTCGTCTCAGCCTGCAATTCCAAAGTACCTCTATCAAGTTCAGTGTGCAAAAGTTGTAAAATGCATGGTCATCACCCAAGGGAGCTGCCCTCGGTGGCCCTCCACCCTTAGCACCTGTTCTCCACACTCAAATAAGCAGCCTGAGTGTAATGCTCAGCTGCATAAAAATAAATTAAGACTAAGGAAAACTGGGTAGTTTTTGTTAAGCACAGACTTATTCAGAGTCTGAAGGACTCATTTCAACTTGTACACACAAAGCCCATACAGACAAATGCATAAAAACATAATCATTTGTGTTCTTCACAAAGTACTCAGGACTTTAACGAGAAAAGTCACAAGGAAAAAAATCCTAGCTCAAAGCAATTAAAAGTATAAATATAAGCCATTATCACTTTATTATAAACTAAAACGATGATGCCCCTAAAATGAAGTGTTTAAAGGGGCATCAGAAGGGGGACTGATAAGGAAAATATTCAATACAGCCGTCAAGGTCAGCAAAGCGCTTTTTCCCTCCAGTTGGCAATGTCAGCAGAGCACCCCCAGCTGCCCCCGCCCCTCCTTCTCTGGGCTCCTCTTTTGCCCTGCGCATACTGAAACGCCACATACCAAAATAATATAAATTGTTCCCTTTGCTTGTGCTCAGGGCTCAGACCCTGGAAGGTTACTCCCCTCTGAGCCCGCTGGTGAAAAATAAAACCTCAACACTCCAGGACCTCAGAGGGCCGTTCGGTTCTTCCGTCAGGAATCCAGTCCAGGTTTTCCAGGATTTTCCGTAACACTTTCAAAAATATTTATTTTCCAATTACAAATAAAATTAACAGTTAAGAGCTGTCCTATAAAGGTAAAGAAAATGTATGCCTCAAACACAGTAAAAATTTCAAACCTTGGTGCTGAAATGAATCATTTGGGATGTCTATTAAAAATGTCAATTACTACGCTTGTCCAGGAATTTCTGATTGAGTAGGTCTGAGAGGTGTGGTACAGATATTTACATATAGAGAAGCTTGCCTGTGATTCTGAAGCAATGATCCTGGAGACACACTTTGAAAAATACAATAATAAACTATTGCTGATTGGCTATAGTCTCATATTCTTAATGTGGCCAAGGAAACCCATCTCAGTGAAAAAGTGGTATTTTTTGGGGAAGCAGAATTCATCGTTTTTATAACGTTTTTCTTGAATCTGAGAAACCAATGTTTTTATGGTTAACGTTTTCTGAATATTTATAATATGTATAAACTCATTATTTAAGCAAGTTCCATGTATTAACTTACATATGCTTCAGAAGCCTATAAGGTAAGTGTAATGACTCCATTTTACAAAGAAATTGAGGTACAAGATCATGAGTAAATGCAGTAAATTAGTTATCATGTTGGGTCAATGTCTCTTAAGAGTCCTTTTACTTAGCACTTTTATTTACTCCATACATTTTAAATGACAAAAGCTAAACTAATTCATATGTTTCAGAAAGAAATATGAAAATTTTAATTATTCATGTGTTCATGTAATAAACACGTACTCAATGCTTACTATGTGCCGGAATTTGTGCTCAGCACTGGGTGGTAATAATTACCGTTTACTGAGCTTTGATGTTGGTGTTTTTCTTCTCATTTTATTAATGAGGACATGGTTAAGCATTTTTCTGGGTGATATCAAATCCCACAGTGGCAGAGCCAGTATTTGAAACCTTATCCATTTGACTCCAACGCTGGGCTCACTGCATCAACTCCAGTAATTTGGTACAGATGGATATTTTATTTTATTAAATGAATTACTATAGAAGTCCTTTAAGTAGTGAGCTTCTCTAGGACTCTTCATATTAAACTTTTCTTACAAAGTTCAAGAGTAAAACTATCATGAAAAAAATACAGTATGTATTGTTTTATGCAGAGTAGAGCTCACTAAATGTTGAATGAATGTAGCTTAAATAGGTTAACTTTGGAGTTATACATCACTACATTAAAGTTCTCTTTTTTTACTCTTTAAACTTCACATTGCTTACTTGTAAATCCAGGAAAAGTACTTCATTTTAGAACCATTATAAGAAATAAATGAGATACTGTAACTAAAACATCTATCACTCATTAAAAAGCAGTTTTGTAAAAAAGCAATGTTATAATCCTGAAATGAAATGTTTAGGCCATAAATTGGGATCCCAGATGGATACTTCATGAACAGAGCTAAGAATTATTAGGTAGGAAGAATCATTAGTGAAAGAAGAGAGGGGATGTGAACTCAACAGTCCAAGCAGGTTCATCGCTGAACCTGAGAGGGACCCCTCTGTCCTGGCCAGCGGAACAAAGGAAAAAGTCTCTAACAGGTCAAGAGGCTTTTTATTGTCAGGGTTTTGGAGGGGCTCTTTGAGGGGAGGGGTCAGGGAATAGGTGGGTTTGTGGCTTGCTGATGTGTCCTCTGGAGAATGCCTGTAGCCTAAGATGACACTTAGGTCTCTCTGAGATGGTAGGTGGGCTTACTCAGAAGGAGGTATTCAGGTCCGGATTCTACCAATTATGACCACTTGGTGCGAGCAGGAGGAAGGAGGCATGATAGACATAAGATTATAGGCTTGATATTTGCTGAGTAATGTGTGGTTAAAGACAGGAATGGGGAAGTTAGAAAGGAATATGAGATTGAAGATGCAAGGCTTTTCATTCTGAAGATGCTCAGAGGAGAAAGATACAAGATTTGGAAAGGCAAAGTAATAGAAATTGTGTATTAAGCTAAATGAATAAATGAAAGGATGGATGAATTAATACATGAACAAATTAATTTAAAATATGCTTATTGAATGCCAGGTACTACAAATTTGTTACCCAGTGGGAACAGATCCATGGTGGTGGCCCCAGAATTTCTATGAAAGAGAAACTTGGGGGTAGCAATCTGGTTGGAAGGGTGTGTGGGGGGGGAATCTGGAGAGGGGAGGGGATTTTTGTCTTAACTCTGTAATCTCTTAGCACTATAGATGAGATTGAGAAAATACCCAAGGACAAGGAAGGGCCTTGACTGAGATTATGGCTGGAACTAATTCCCCTCAGGCTGACTTTTAACTCTGCCACTGAAGACCTATATAACCAAACAATCATAATTAATGATACACTCATTTTAACAGATCTATGTACAAAGATTTAAGTCAGGATGGAAGCAGAGACATTTAATTCTACATAGGTGGGGGGAGAGTAGATGAGGGAAGGGTTTCACAAAAAGGTGTGATTTTAGTTCACTCTTATTTCTCACAATTGAAATATGAAATTAATGTTGTAAACACATCCTTCAAAGACAGAAAAGTTATAGGTGCTGGCAGATTGTTCAGAACCTGCCTAAAGTGGGGGTAAGGCTAGAGATGAAGGATGAGCAGCGGTCCAATCATAATAGGCTTTTTCATGTTGCGCCAAGAGCCTTGAAACTCATCTTGAGATTGCTGGGAACCACTGAAGGATTTCGGGCATGGGGATGACAGTGGTAAAGTATTACATAACATTCTAAGAAGATCACACAGCTATACATTTAAAAGAGATCCAAGCAACATGACCACCCAACCTCTTCTTTACAAACGAGAAAGAAACACAATAAAGCAAAGTTCCTATACTCAAGGAATGTACATTCTAGTGGTGAGAGGCAGACAATAAAATACAGATATATAATGCAATATTAGGTAGTGAAGTGCTAGAAAGAAGAATAAAGCAGATAAGGTACGTAGGATTGAGTGGAGGTACTGAAGTCAAACTCAGTGTTCTTTCCACTAATCCTCATAGCCACCATAAAAAATACTATTTCAAGATCCTCTCTCTTGCCAGCACAACAGCTTCACTACCATTTAAATCTGAATGTTGCAAACCTCTCCATTGTCTAATTTCACTCAGTGTTTAAAAACTTTTTACCTTCATAAATACCTGTGCTGTTTTGCCAAAGTCCAGAAAATAGGGAGCAAATTCCCATCTGAAGTTGAAAGGACTGTGAACAGGCTGCACTGAAAACTCTTCCGTGCCTTTACTTTCACTGTGTCTCTACGCTTCACTGAGACACAACTCTTCACTTTTTTTATCTTTAATTTCAGTAGCTTGCCTCCCAAGACCTTGCATGTCTCCTTCCCGTCTTCCTTTTTTTTTTTTTTCATTTAAGAAATGTATCATGTACTGAGTGCTTGGTTTGGCACCATACTTTGCTAGGTAACAGATGGCACAGAGGAGAGCAAAACCAGCCCAGGCCTCTGGAGCTGATAGTTGGACTATGTGTGGGTAAGTGAAGGCTCAAGCACTAGGGGTGGGTGAGGTCTGCAAAATGGGACGACCAGTTGCTGCTCCGCCTTAGACGCCTGGTTCAAAGTTGGCACAATCCTGTATTATGTGGAGAGTGATCAGAGGTCTATGAAAAGGGGAGCTGCCCATTAATAGTGACAATTGACTTTCATTAAGGGTTTACTGTCCAATTCTCCAAAAATGAAGCCCAGGTCAAGTCCCACCCTGCAACAGCTGGGGTCTAATAGAAGAATGCAGATCCTTGAGAGCTACCTAAATCCATGGAATCACAATGTCTAAGGGTGGGGCCCAGAAATCGGCAGTTAAATCAAGATCCCCAAGCCATTGTTATGCACACTCAAAACTTAAGCGCTGTCGGTTTGCCTTTTATTTCTTCACTTTAACCTGAAGCTGGTACTGTTTTCATCTGTTTTTCAGGGAGGAAAGTGAGGCACAGGAAGGTTGATTAGCTTGCCAAAGCCACAGAGAACTACGCTTTGACCCAAGACCTATCTAGACGCGGCCCTTAGTCTTGAACACTGCAGTACTGTTATCTCTTATTGCTCAAGGATTTGTTCCTAAAGTACTTCAACAAGCACTGGACTCCGAGTTTGAAAACAGCCTGGGGGCCCACTGACTTTTGTCTGGTGACCTTGGACGATTCACTCACATTTTGATTTTTACGTCCCTTGCGGGTCGAAGAGTCCAACACACCCCTCCCTGCAAGGTTACTTGAGAGGCGGGGCGGGCGGGGCGGCCGGCGCGGGAGGGAGGCGATCGATGTCCTCGGCGCGCTGCGGCCTGTTGGATTGGCTCGAGCCTCTCCCGTCACGCCTGCCCCACTCCCGCGCGCTCCCGGGCCCGCCCCCGACGCCATCTTGGTCTAGGAGGGAGCGGGCCGCCCGCGTGAGTAAACCGCACGAGCGGGGAAAGTCGAGGTCTGGCTGCGCCCGGGGGCTGCGGGGCTGCGGCGGAGAGGACGCGGTCCTGACCTTCGTACGTGGCGGTAAACACTGGGGTCACAGTGCCAGGCTGTGGGGAGCCCTCTGACTGGCAGCCTCCGCCCCCTCGCGGCGAGATGCTCGGCTCTCCGGGTTTCTCCCGCCCCCCGCTGGTCACCTCCCTAGTTGAAAGCTGCCCGGGAAAGTGGTGGCGGGAGCGGGCCTGGGACGGAGCGCGGTGTGGGCCGGGGGCGTGCTGTGGGGCGCAGGAGGACTTCAGGGCCTTGATTTGCGCGCGGAGGTCTTGGGTTGTGGACGCGGCGGGGCTGGGCCCGGACTCGCCCTGGGCCGCCGCTGTGTGGCTGGCTGTTCCCTTCGGTCACTGGGTTTTCTCCTTTTCCGGTCCGTGCCTCAGGGTGGCCGACATGACGGCCCCGGGTCGTGGCCCCCTGGCGCCGCTGCTGGAGACTTTGGAAGATCCGTCCGCCTCCCGCGGGGAGCAGACGGACGCTTACCTGACTCTGACCAGGTGAGGCCCGCCGGCGGCGGGCGGCAGCGGGGGGCGCTCCGGAGGGTCTCGGGGGAGAGCTGGGGTGGGACATGCAAAATGAGTTTGCAACTCGAGAAGCTTGGCAGCTGTGAGGACGTCGGGGTGGCCGGCGAGTTGCGGGCATGTTGCGTGCTCGGTGACGTTCCCGGGTGTTGAGCGCTTGAGGCGTATGTTTGGAATGAGGAATCCTGCACACGTGTCTTAAGAGGGTAGGATTTTTTAAAGTTTGGAAGTGGGAATGCTTGGAGGCATCGTTTCCAGTGTAAACCGCAGATGTCGGGACAGTGTGGCCACTAAGCATTGTTTTTTTTCATAACGAGTAATAACCAGGGCTCTATTTTAATTGCGTATGGTTCACAATATTTGTTTTACTGCAAATCATTTTTTCAGCGCTATCCGTAGTAACTTGGAAATTGCTGGGAAAGGATAACAACTTGTACATAAACGATAAAGATTTAAAAAGTTTCTAGTAAATTTTTTTAAGTGTGCAAACGTGTGCACTGTGGACCCAGAAGTTATTCTAGGGTTTTTTGCATTTATTTGATGTATATTGTATTCGGTATTAAATATGTTCTTAAATATCTTCAATACTGGGTCAATTTGCCAGGGTTCTAACATAAGCTTTAAACAGATGATACATACAGGTATTTTAGATCTTTTTTAGTGTCTCCCAGTGACACAGACTTTGTCTTCTTTCTGCTTTTAAGTCGTATGACTGGAGAAGATGGAAAAGAAGTCATTACAGAAATTGAGAAAAAACTTCCTCGGCTATACAAAGTCTTAAAAGTATGTATTTCTGTTGCTTATTAGTTTTTTACTTTGGGAGAAAGTTTACCAGCTAACTCATAAAAACTTTGAATGTGAAACAAAATAAATAGCAGTTTTACAGTATTATTTGAGCACATACTTTTATATCACCTGCTCTCAACCACTTTACATATTTTCTCTTGTCACATTGCAGAAGAAATTGGTTTAACTTGCCTAAAGTTGCCGATGGCAACTTGAATCCAAAACCTCTACTCTAAATTTAAAAACAATGGTCAGAGATTATATAATGTTTTCTTTTGTAGGAATGTACTTCTAAGTAAATGATTCCGTAATTTTTTATCTACTCTGTAGGTAACTTTTTTTTGACCTCTCACTCTCAGTGTTACCTCTCTTCTGTGGTCAAAAATACTATTACGGTAATCTTTTTTGCTTGTTTATAGGAAGGTGGTAGGTAGTTTAACATCAAACTAAAGACTTAGGTTCTTGTCCTTACTTGAGTACGCAGTAGCTTTGTGACCTCCCTAAAAAACACCTTTTATTTTCCTTGTATTTAGAATGAAGAGGTTGTAAATCTCCAAAGTCCCTTTGAGCTCTTTTTTTTATTACTGTTTTTGTGCTGTTAAACAGAAGTATTCTATCAACATGTTCATTGTACACTTTAACACGATTTCCAGTCTAAATGTCGAGGCATTGTAGGTACTGTCTACTCGTAGTATTGCTGTTACAGTCATCAGTTCATGTGAACAGGAACTTACTGTGGAGTAGTTCTTGGTTTAGTGATAGTATTATCAAGCAATGTTAATGTATTATTTATTCCATTTTTCTTCATTATCATGTTCCACATTCCAGCAATATTTGATGTGATGAAGACAGGCGTCTTCATAAATTTGATATTTGAGAGAATGTAAGATCAGGAACTCAATTACATGCGTTTGAGTCAAGTTGCACTGTAAATAGGGTTTGTAGCTAAAATGCCAGCTGAGTAATTATTTGGAGGCATGTTGGTGGTTAGAGATAAGGACAATCCACAGAAGTTTCTGTGTGAATTGTCAAAGCACTGTAAGGATAATTCCTTGGGAACAGAAGCCATACTAGGTAAAATATAACGTTTCTGTGTTATTGTTTAGGATTCTGCTAGTGTTGTGTCGAGGAACCCACAACATTCTCAAGACAAGACACACCACTGTTAAGGAACACTTACTTTCAAGCAATCTGTATTTAATAAAAGTGATCAGAAACATGCTAGCTTTTATTCAGGAGATAAAGTAGTAGCTTTCAAAGTCTTAAGTGTTTATAACTGGCTGTCTGAACTGATTGCTTTAAATACCCCATGGTTTGACTGTTTTGATTAATTTAAAAAGGAGTGCCCCAGGGAATTGTCCTCATTTGATTACTAAGGTTTGCTATTCTTCCTGCTTAAAAGTAACACTTAGTGAAGGATTCCTTGGATATCCGACTCAGAGAAATGGGAGTATTTGAAGATAAATCACTTTGGAATAGGAAATAGTACCTAGGAAGACAGTTACAAGTAAAAACGTGGTTGGTGGGTATAGCGACACTCTGATAGGTTTTGGATTTTACAGCTTTTTATATGCGTAATATGGGTTCAGCTTTGAATTACAGATAGACATGGATTCAAATTCTGTCTATGAAGTAGGGATTTTTTTTTCTTTGAGATTTTTAATATAACGTTTAAAGCTGGCACTTTCGATACTCAATTTTAAGTGTTACATTCCAACCTCTTCCCTCTAAGTGGTGTCACTCCACTCTAAAGTTAAAATGTCAGCTTTTGCCTTTGAGTTTTTTGCTTAACCTTTGTGGAAGGACTTCATGAAAGTGTCTTCAAGATCTCGCATTTGTTGGCTTCTCTTTGCTTTCAGGTGTGTGGAGATGTTTTTTTATCTTTAAGAAATGTTCTTCAGATGATCTCTAGTTTTCCTCTTCTTTGCTTGCTTAAGCTGTGTACCTGGTCTCCCGATCTTTTATAACTACTCTCAAAGATTGTTGATTGATAAAATGTAATTTGTTTTTAAATCAACTTTTGGTCTTTAAATATTGATTTAAAATTGCACTTGTTTGTGTTAAGTGTGATTTTGTTTTTGTAGACTCATATTTCCAGCCAGAACTCGGAGCTCAGTAGTGCTGCTCTACAGGCCTTGGGGTTTTGCTTATATAATCCCAAAATTGCCTCAGGATTATCAGGTAATTGAATATGATAGCATTTTTAGACTTACAATTTGATGATATTAAAAGTGCTACTAGTTTCTGACTTGTAGTTACAGGATTTGCTTTTGTGAGAGAATGTTTAGATATCATTGGAAGATTTCTTTTTACCTAGACATAGCTTTAACTTTGATACCATTAAAGTTAAAAGGTAGGCCTATTTAAAAATGATTGCAAGGAAAACTGAACCTTCTTAAAGCACATCTGCTTTGGAAGTTAATAATAATTTAGGTGGTCAATTATTTTCTACAAGCATATGTACTGAGCAGCATGCTGAATTGAAAAGTTCTTTTACATAGTGGTAAGTGGGACAATTTGGAACTAACTGTGGTATTGAAAGCACAGGATCTGATGCTTTCTGAGTTTTCCAATAATCTTAATTGTTGTTCTGTCCTTAGTAGTAGACATTGTAAAGGAAACCCCGGAAAGTGATCTTTAGAGAAGGGATATCAGGAATGGGGTGGGGAATGTCAGAAAATTGTTACCATCTTTTTTTTCCTGAGAGAAGAATTTCTGCTTTCATTTTTATATCTAGAAATGTTAGCAGTCTAAAGCAGGTGTTCATTTTAAAGCAGTGTAGGATTCATAACCATCTTGCCAAAAAGTGTCTTGTATGTTCAGACCTAATGATACCTTTAGATTTTGTTTTTGTAGACTCATATTTCCAGTTTAATTGCACAAACTATCTGATTTGGAATCTGCTGTTTTCTCTGAATATGCCTTCCCATCTGACTGGATTTTTGTGTTTTGGAAAGAAGTTTGATAATAATACTGGGTCTCTGATCCTTCTCTCCACTGCATATGCATTTAAATTTTTTGACAGTAAAGAGTATGCTATTTTTCTCTAGTTTTGCATTTGAGATTTGAAAGGATGTAAACTATTTTACATAATTAAAAAGGTGCTTGTTTTTCAGAGACAAATATTCAAGAACTCCTTTCAAAATTGAATGATACTGTTAAGAGTTCAGACAAAAATGTACGTACGAGGGCACTTTGGGTGATATCTAAGCAGACATTTCCCAGTGAAGCTGTTGGCAAAGTAGTGAGTATGGTTTCTATGTATGTTTTCTTTAATCACACATCCAGTTTAAAAACCCTGGCTTATTTGATTTGTATTTCTTTGGTTTTATCTTTTAGGTATCCAGTATAATTGATTCATTAGAAATAGTATTTAATAGAGGAGAGGTGCATTCTGCTGTTGTTGATTATGAAGCATTAAATGTCATCGTAAGGTATGAGTCTCAGTGCTGTGCAAATTGGAAAATAGTTTCAGCAAATTTAGAATTTACTTCATGGAGTGGACTTACGGGACTAGAATATGAGTTAGACATTAAAGGAGGAGATACCTTTTAGACAAAAATCTCAAAAGTCCCAGGAAGGAGGAAGTAGATGTCCTAAGTTCCTGGGTATCTGTATTTTCACTGAGACAGCCTGGTTGTGCTGTGCTAACACAGTTCTGGTGTTAAGAATTATCCCTGTTAGAGATTTTCCAGAAGTTCAAAAAACAGTATGGACTCATAATTGGGCTTATGGGGGGTTGTTTAGGAAGACATTTAACAGTTGCCAGCCCCAGGTGGAGAACAGGAAAATCCCCTTTTCCCTCCACACCTGCTCATAATTGGATATGCCAACAGCAGACTCTGATAGGAATTCTTTGTTTTTCATTTGTTTACAGTTTTCTTTGTTGTAATTTGCTCTAACTACTTAGTGTTCTGATTCCCTGATTGCAGTGCTCACATTATGTGATGTTCTCTGGCTGCCCTCTCCTAGAACTTTGAATTTAATTGTATAAAAATAATTATTTGAAAAATTTAATCTGAAGACAAACTGTGTTCTTATTTTAAAATTTACATAAGTCATACAGAAATGTACAAACTATCAAGTAAAAATTAGATCTGTTTTTTGTGTAGATGCATGTATGTTTATATTCTTAAACATGAACCATACCATGCATATTCTGTGTGCTGCTGGTTTTCCTGGTGAGGTCAAACTAATTTATTGATTTTTCTATTATAGACTGATTGAACAAGCCCCAATTCAAATGGGAGAGGAGTCAATTAGGTGGGCAAAATTGGTCATACCTTTAGTGGTTCATTCTGCCCAAAAGGTACATTTGCGGGGAGCGACTGCTTTAGAGATGGGAATGCCGTTGTTGCTGCAGAAACAACAAGAAATAGCATCTATCACAGAACAGCTTATGACTACTGTAAGTATTAATCTGTGTAAGAAGTTTCTGGATACTGCATTGAAGGTTTCGTATCACACTTAGGGCTCATATTGGTATAATTGCACTCTGATCTAGGAAGTTCCTTATTGAATTAAAACAAAGAATTGCCTAAGTTAGTGTAGGTACAATGCTCCTACATTACAGAAAGGAATGGTGCTTGTCTGTTCAGTGTTAACTACTATCCAGGCATTTTACCCCATCCCCAGTGAATGGTGATTAGAAAGGATTGCCTTTCTAGAAAAGTGAGAGTATTAACTGATTCAGTGCTATTTGGGTTGTTACAGTATAATCCCAGTAGATACAAATTTAATGCACATAAGTGCATCTCCTGTACAGTTCCCTAATTTGCTGCATTTTTTAGATTTTTGAAGGTATTTATTGAGCACTTTTAATATGCTGGGCATTGTGTTATGCATTGTGAATATAGCAGTGAACAAAACAAAATAATGTAGTATACTACTATTACAGAGAACCATTACAGAGAACAACAGGGACTGAGTCCAATCAGATGGGAAGGGTGAGATGCCATCACGGAAGGAAAAAGGATACTTGAACAGTGGTTTGAAGGCAGTAAAGGAGAACTATTTGTGTAATGTGGAGTAAGCTTATTCCAGGCAGGAGGGAGCCCTGAGAGCAAAAGGCCCTCTCTCCTGGCTGTGTACCTGGTTGATGTTCCGAGAAGACTGGGCGATGTGGTTGTGGAGTCAGGATAAGGAGTAAGGGATGATGTTAAGAGAAACAGGTCTTTGGGGGCCATTGGAAGGCATTCATTTGGTTTTCACTCTAGGTTATATTGAAAACCATGTATGAAGGTTTTGAATCCAAATTTGAATGACAATTGTGCTGATTGGGGTTTCTGTTAAAGGGATCACTCAGCCTATGTTGAGCAGTAATCCAGACAGAGAAGGGAGCTCTCCAGATTTTAAAACCTGAGACTTTGTTTATTTTTTAAAATCCAGGAGACCTTGTGGTAATACTTGGAATCTAATGAAGTAACTCCAGTGTCTTTGCAAATCTTTTTCTGTATGTTTAAAAATTTTTAACAGATTACACACAATTTGTAAATATGAACTAAAGTTTTCTTAATATGTCTATTAATCCATGAAGTTATTACTGTGTTTTTTTTACATTATTGGAGTAAGAAGTTAAAATATTATAATTTGAACTCTTAAATTAATGATAAGTATGCTGAAGTTTTTAAAGAAAAGTATATTGGGTTGAAAAAAAACTGAGTTGATGAATGGAAGAATGGCCAGCATAGTAAAATATTAATGGTATTTATATTTGGACATTTACAGGAAAACTTCCAGCTTTGCTGTATGTATGTCCTAATAAGACATTGGGAACAGCTATTTTTGGCTGAGACAATCAATTTGATACCACATTTTTGCCCCTTTCCTTGCTTTTGTTTGCAGAAATTACTTTCGGAGCTCCAAAAGCTGTTTATGAGTAAAAATGAGACTTATGTGTTAAAATTATGGCCTCTGTTTGTCAAACTTCTTGGGAAGGTACGTTCACAGTTTTCACATGCCATATACCCTTTCATTTCTTAACTTTACATAGTTACTGTCGGTCCTCATTCATGCATGCCATATGTTCAAAATTGACTGCTCACTAGAATTTATTTATGAACCCACCGTCAGTACTCGTGCTGTTACTGTAGTCAGTTGCGGATAGGCAGAATGGCAAAAGAAGTCTTTGTCCCCTGGTGTGCTTGTTCTCAGTTGAGGTTAAGCAAGGTTATGCTCTGCCTTGTTACTTCAGGTCTCAGTGTCCATCAAACATATGTCCATTTCATGATCCATTTAGTGCCACATTCTTCACTTCTGCTTTTTCTTGGTGATTTCAGTTTTAAGTGGCCCCCAGAGTAGTGCTAAGGTGTGGTCTATGGCTCCTAAGCATAAGAAGGTTTATAATGTGCTCTAGGGAGAAAATGTGTGTGTTAAATAAGCTTTGTTCAGGCGTGAGTTACAGTGCTGTTGACTGTGTTGAGTTCAGTTTTCATGACTCAACAGTATATATTAAGGAGTCTAAATACAAATAAGCATAAAACAAGGTTGCATGTTGATTGATGGAAATATGACCAGAGGCTCACAGGAGCTTTAGCCTTGTATTTTGCATGGGAGTGATGGCCAGGACTCACTCATAGTGTTTTGAGGTAACTTTATAAAACATAACTTTGGTGAATAATCAGAATCAACTGTATGTTCTGTCTTTTATTTTCCTTTATTATTTATTTTTAATAGACTTTTAAAAACAGTTTTAGATTCACAGAAAAATTGAGTAGAATAGTACTGAGTTCCCTTGTGTCCCTCCCCCATCCTCCCCACGCAGAATTTTCCCTATTAATAATGTCTTACATTTATGGTACAGTATTAATATTAATGAACCAATATTGATACATTAATATTAACTAGTCCATAGTTATTTGGACTTACTTAGTATTTATCTAATGTGCTTTCTTTTCCAGGATACCATATTACATGTAGTTGTCTTATCTCCTTAGACATCTCTTGGCAGTGACAGTTTCTGGGACTACTTGTTTTCGTTTTTTTATTTTGGCATCATTAATATACAATTACATGAGCAACATTGTGGTTACTAGATTCCCCCCATTATTAAGTCCCCACCACATACCCCATTACAGTCACTGTCCATCAGTATAGTAAGATGCTATAGAGTCACTACTTGTCTTCTCTGTGCTATACTGCCTTCCCCATCCCCCTTCCTACATTATGTGTACTAAACATAATGCCCCTTATTCCCCTTATCCCTCCCTTCCCATCCACCCTCCCCAGTCCCTTTCCCTTTGGTAACTGTTAGTCCATTCTTGGGTTCTGTGAGTCTGCTGCTGTTTTGTGTATGTCCTATCTTTAAGTCAGGTTTTTTTTTGAGTGGAGGTTGTGTTTGGTTCTTCACTGTGGTGAGTAGATATATTTATCATAACCATCCTAAATGTACAGTTCAGTAGCATTAAATACATTCACAAATTATATAAACACCACTATCTGTACCCGAAACTTTTTTTTCCCCCATATGGTCTTTTTTATTTTTTATTTTTTATTAAGGTATGATTGATATACACTCTTATGAAGGTTTCACATGAAAAAACAATGTGGTTACTACATTTACCCATATTATCAAGTCCCCACCCATACCCCAATGCAGTCACTGTCTATCAGTGCAGCAAAGTTGCCAGAGATCCACTATGTCCCTTCTCTGTGCTACACTGTTCTCCCCGGGGGGTGCTACACTGTTCTCCCCGTGATCCCCCACACCATGTGTACTAAACATAATACCCCTCAGTCCCCTTCTCCCTCCCCACCTGCCCTCCCACACCACTCCCCTTTGGTAACCACTAGTTCATTCTTGGAGTCTCTGAGTCTGCTGCCATTTTCTTCCTTCAGTTTTGCTTCATTGTTATACTCCACAAATGAGGGAAATCATTTGGCATTTGTCTTTCTCTACCTGGCTTATTTCACTGAGCATAATGTCCTCCAGCTCCATCCATGTTGTTGCAAATGGTAGGATTTGTTTCTTATGGCTGAATAGTATTTGATTGTATATATGTACCACATCTTCTTTATCCATTCATCTACAGATGGATACTTAGGTTGCTTCCATATCTTGGCTGTTGTCAAAAGTGCTGCGATAAACATAGGGGTGCATATGTCTTTTTGAATCTGAGAGGTTGTATTGTTTGGGTATATTCCAAGGAGTGGGATTCCAGGGTCAAATGTATTTGTATTTTTTGTTTTTTGAGCAACCTCTGTATTGCTTTCCACAATGGTTGAACTAGCTTACATTCCCACCAGCAGTGTAAGAAGGTTCCCCTTTCTCTGCATCCTCGCCAGCATTTGTTCTTAGTTTTTTCAATGCTGGCCATCCTTACTGGTGTGAGGTGATACCTCATTGTGGTTTTAATTTGCATTTCCCTGATGGTTAGTGATGTGGAGCATCTTTTCATGTGTCTTTTGGCCATCTGAATTTCTTCTTTGGAGTACAGTCTCTTATCCTCTGTCCATTTGTTAATCAGGTTGTTTGCTTTTTGGGTGTTGAGGTGTGTAAGTTCTTTATATATTTTGGAGGTACCCCAAAACCATCATGTTCAACAAAAACTCTATATATGTTAAGTAATTATTCCTTCTGACCCTCTTCCCTCAGACCCTGGTAAACCTTTATTCCACTTCTGTCTCTATTGATTTGCTCATTTTAGTATCCCACATAAGTGGAATCATTCTTCTTGCCTTCTGTGTATGGTTTATTTCACTAAGTGTAACTTTTGCAAGGCCTATCCATGTTGTAGCATGTATTATAATTTCATTCCTTCTTTTGGTTGAATAATACTTCATTGTGTTGCATGTATCTTGTTTTGTTTGTCCATTTGTTGACTGACATTTGGCTTTTCACCTTTTGGCTGTTGAGACTGTTGCTGTGAATATTGGTGTAAAGGTGTTAGAATCTCTGCTTTCAATTTTTTGGGGTATATATATATATATATGAGTGGAATTGCTAGATCATATGGTAGTTACTGAACTTTCTGAGAAACCTCCACATTGTTTTTCCACAGTGGCTGCACCATTTCACATGCCCACCAGTAATGCACTGGAGTTCCAATTTCACCACATTCTTGCCAGAGTTTGTTATTTACCTTTTCTTGGATAGTAGCCATTCCAGAAAATGTGTTGGGTTCGTCTGTAAAACTGGAACATTTTAATATTTTGACAATATGGTAAATAGTTCTCTTGATTATTGCAGACATGTAAGGCCTATTGGGTAATAATTGAGAAGCATCAAAGTAACGGTGTTGTCTACTCACCTTGAACCTGACTAACAATGTTGGTTTTTCTTATTGGTGTTGCAGTCTTAGTTTGTAGTCTTAAATGATTATAAGGAATTACGTGCATTAAACTGATGTCAGACTGGTAAGATTGCATTTATGCTTTCATCATTTTCAAGATCATTAGTTACCTGGGCATATTTCCCCCAAGTAACCTTTCTTCCTTCTGTCACAGGGCCAGATTTACTCATTTGAGTAGTACCCAAAGTTGTATATAGTGAGGAAGTTGTATATATTAATAGGCAAGGGTTACATTTATTATGTAATATATTCCATGGGTTTTCTTGTAACAAGTTCATTGGCCTAACAAGCTTCCATGTTTAGGTGGCTTTCACATAAAACAATTTCCTTGTATATAGTGAGGAAGTTGTATATATTAATAGGCAAGGGTTACATTTATTATGTAATATATTCCATGGGTTTTCTTGTAACAAGTTCATTGGCCTAACAAGCTTCCATGTTTAGGTGGCTTTCACATAAAACAATTTCCAACTGAGCAGACTTTAGTCATCAGTGTCTTTCATGCTTTCTTCTCTCTTTCATATTCAAATAACTTAGTGTTTCTCCTTCCTGGGCATGAACCTTGGGTGGAGGTTTGTCCCATTTCCTGCTGCTTTCTCCTTTAAAAATTTAACCGTATTTGAAAATACCTTACTTAGCTCAGGACTGTCGCTCTGTGTCCAACAGACAGGCAGGTATTGTTCCTTGTGGAGATTTTTCATCCTTTAGTTTGGTGTTCTCTCTTCATGCAACTTGATAGACTTTTTTTTCATTTGTATTTTGTCAGTGTGCTGCTGCTATTCATTGTAGAACTTAGCCTTCAGACAAGTCATGGCTGCTGCCTTTGAACATTCATGAGCCTCTCAACTTTCTCTTCTACTCAGGATAATCCAAGTGATATCCATGACATTTATTGTATAGTTCAGTATTTATTTTGTGGCGTGGTGATGATTGTCCAGCTGCCTTGGTGCAAAGAACCTGTAAATTTTGGGGTCTCTAACAGCCAGGTCCACATAATCCATGACAGGAAAGCCTTTGCCAGTTTTTTCATTGGATGGTTTTTGGTAGTGGAGTTGTAGGAGTTCTTTATTCTCAATATTAATACCTTACCAGATATGTTATTTGCAAATACTTTCTCCCATTCTGTAGGCTGTCTTTTTACTTTCTTGATGATATCCTGGTGCACAAAAGTTTTTAATTTTGATGAAGACTATCTAATGTAAGTTAGATAAATTTTTTTCTTCTGTTTCCTGTGCTTTTGGTATATCCATAAAGTTTTTGCCAAATCCAATGTCATGAATCCTTTTTGTTTTCTTCTAGGGGTTTTATAGCTTTAGTTCCTAAGTTTCTAACTTTCATCGATTCTGAGTTTATTTTTGTGTATGGTATAAGCCATGGGTCCTGCTTTATGCTTTTGCATGTGAATACTCAGTTTTCCCAGCACCATTTGTTGAAAAGATTCCTCTTTACTATTGAGTGATCTTGGCACCCTTGCTGGAAATCATTTGACAGCATACGTGAGGGTTTAATTGTGGGATCTCTCTTCCATTGGTCTATATCCTTCTGCCATTACCATATGTTTTAATTAATGACGTTTTGTAGTAAGTTTGGAAGTCAGAAGTGTGAATCCTCCAACTTACTACTCTTTTTCAAAATTGTCTTAAACTATCTGGGGCTCTTTGCAGTTTCACAATTGAACTTGAGGGATTGGCTTTTCTTTTTCTGTGAAAAAGGCTGATGGGATTTTGATAGAGATAATGTTGGATCTATAGATTGCTTTGGGTAGTACAGACATTTTAATGATAACTAAATCCTCCTATCCGTGAACGTGGGATGGTTTCTAAACTATTTAGGTTTTTCTAAATTTCTTTCAGCAATGCGTCTTAGCTTTCAGTGTATAAGTATTACTTCCTTGATTAAATTATTCTTGTTTGTTTTAGGTGTTAATTGTAAATGGAATTGCTTTCCTAATTTCCTGTTTAGAGTGTTCATTGCTGGTGTGTAGAAACATTTTCATGCATTGATCTTGTAGTCTGCAGCATTGCTGCATTTATTTTATTAGTTCCAGTAGCTTTCTTGTGAGTTCTGTTTTTTTTTTTATACAGCTTATATTCTGTTCAGTTTTTATGTTGATTACAGCCACTTGGACTGTTAATGTGTGATCTTTTTAAATATTTTTTCTTTGGATGCATTGTTTACTTGTCATCCATTTTCCCCTTAATTCTTTTTTCCTGTCTATTTCAGTGTTGTTTGGAAAGACTTGTTTATATTAGCTTCTGTGTTCAACATTTCCTATTTTTTCCTTTACGTATTATCTAATTTATTGATTTTTTTTTCATAGGGGTATCCTTTTTTGTGGGGGTATTATGTTAGTAAAACTTGGGATTCATCTTAATTTTAATGTTTTGATGTTCTGTGTTATACATTATTTGCTTCATGGAACTTTGTTTTGTGATTTTTAATTTGTGTGCATACAAATTCTGTACTAATTGAAAATTTTAAGGCTTTACATAACTAACAATGAATTAGGTAAATAAATAATAGTAGTGCCTATATATTGTTTCAGGCAGGTAAATAAATTTTTAATGGTTTTTCATTTTTAGACCTTGCATCGAAGTGGGAGTTTCATTAATTCTCTGTTACAGCTTGAAGAATTAGGATTTCGTAGTGGAGCACCTATGATTAAAAAAATAGCTTTTATTGCTTGGAAGAGTTTAATAGATAATTTTGCTTTAAATCCAGGTAAGTAGTATTCTAAAATTCCAATTTTCTATGAATTTTAGTTAACCAAGATGAAAAGACAAAGCATTTCTGATTATGTGTAGACTTTATATTGAAACATAATTTTGTTGAATGCTTTTGTTTTAAGGAAATTTTGTTTGCTCAGAGGAATTTTAAGTCTAGGCGCTACTGAAAATCAAAGTTAGTATAATTTGTTCTAAGCTATTCCAAAAACTGAATGAAGTGGCAAATAGTCTTTGGCTTTCTTAGTATGTTCCAGCACTTAGTTGAACTCTTAACATAATTCTCATTTAGTAATCACAGTAGACCTGAGATGGTATGTAGTATTCACTGTTTTAGAGAGATGAAATAATTTATCAAAGGTCCCAAAGTCTGGTTGGTAGATAATAGGAAACAATTGTGATTGCTGTGGAATAAAAATGTGGCTGATGAACTCTCTTCTTTCAGGACATTTAGAATAGTATTTAATAGTGGGTTAACATTAATATATAGAAGTGATTCCTTTTGATTACCTTAAGCTTATCTTCCTATTGTGCAGTGGAGGTGTTTAATAAATAAATGAGAAAAAGTGTTTAGCCCAAAAGTGAGTTAGTATGAGTATCTGTTTAATTGGTTAGTCCATCTTAGTTATGATGCATACTGTGATGTTTACAAGATCTTTTTTAACTAATGTTGATTTCCTCTGTCAAAGACAATCTTTTTTTTTCTCCCCGTTTTAATGTGTTTTACAAGGTGATTATTTAAATCAACTGCAATTAACTTTTGTTGAAAATACTGGTAAAAGTGCATTGCCAGGCACAGATTTTGATTGGAGATGTCACCTTTTTCTTTCTTTTGCTGTTTATGAACTGGCATTGTGAGATTATGTTTTGGGACTAAACGTGTTAGGATTATGTGTAGTTGTGTGTTAAATCATGAAATTAGCCATGGGTCCTGCTTTATGCTTTTGCATGTGAATACTCAGTTTTCCCAGCACCATTTGTTGAAAAGATTCCTCTTTACTATTGAGTGATCTTGGCACCCTTGCTGGAAATCATTTGACAGCATACGTGAGGGTTTAATTGTGGGATCTCTCTTCCATTGGTCTATATCCTTCTGCCATTACCATATGTTTTAATTAATGACGTTTTGTAGTAAGTTTGGAAGTCAGAAGTGTGAATCCTCCAACTTACTACTCTTTTTCAAAATTGTCTTAAACTATCTGGGGCTCTTTGCAGTTTCACAATTGAACTTGAGGGATTGGCTTTTCTTTTTCTGTGAAAAAGGCTGATGGGATTTTGATAGAGATAATGTTGGATCTATAGATTGCTTTGGGTAGTACAGACATTTTAATGATAACTAAATCCTCCTATCCGTGAACGTGGGATGGTTTCTAAACTATTTAGGTTTTTCTAAATTTCTTTCAGCAATGCGTCTTAGCTTTCAGTGTATAAGTATTACTTCCTTGATTAAATTATTCTTGTTTGTTTTAGGTGTTAATTGTAAATGGAATTGCTTTCCTAATTTCCTGTTTAGAGTGTTCATTGCTGGTGTGTAGAAACATTTTCATGCATTGATCTTGTAGTCTGCAGCATTGCTGCATTTATTTTATTAGTTCCAGTAGCTTTCTTGTGAGTTCTGTTTTTTTTTTTATACAGCTTATATTCTGTTCAGTTTTTATGTTGATTACAGCCACTTGGACTGTTAATGTGTGATCTTTTTAAATATTTTTTCTTTGGATGCATTGTTTACTTGTCATCCATTTTCCCCTTAATTCTTTTTTCCTGTCTATTTCAGTGTTGTTTGGAAAGACTTGTTTATATTAGCTTCTGTGTTCAACATTTCCTATTTTTTCCTTTACGTATTATCTAATTTATTGATTTTTTTTTCATAGGGGTATCCTTTTTTGTGGGGGTATTATGTTAGTAAAACTTGGGATTCATCTTAATTTTAATGTTTTGATGTTCTGTGTTATACATTATTTGCTTCATGGAACTTTGTTTTGTGATTTTTAATTTGTGTGCATACAAATTCTGTACTAATTGAAAATTTTAAGGCTTTACATAACTAACAATGAATTAGGTAAATAAATAATAGTAGTGCCTATATATTGTTTCAGGCAGGTAAATAAATTTTTAATGGTTTTTCATTTTTAGACCTTGCATCGAAGTGGGAGTTTCATTAATTCTCTGTTACAGCTTGAAGAATTAGGATTTCGTAGTGGAGCACCTATGATTAAAAAAATAGCTTTTATTGCTTGGAAGAGTTTAATAGATAATTTTGCTTTAAATCCAGGTAAGTAGTATTCTAAAATTCCAATTTTCTATGAATTTTAGTTAACCAAGATGAAAAGACAAAGCATTTCTGATTATGTGTAGACTTTATATTGAAACATAATTTTGTTGAATGCTTTTGTTTTAAGGAAATTTTGTTTGCTCAGAGGAATTTTAAGTCTAGGCGCTACTGAAAATCAAAGTTAGTATAATTTGTTCTAAGCTATTCCAAAAACTGAATGAAGTGGCAAATAGTCTTTGGCTTTCTTAGTATGTTCCAGCACTTAGTTGAACTCTTAACATAATTCTCATTTAGTAATCACAGTAGACCTGAGATGGTATGTAGTATTCACTGTTTTAGAGAGATGAAATAATTTATCAAAGGTCCCAAAGTCTGGTTGGTAGATAATAGGAAACAATTGTGATTGCTGTGGAATAAAAATGTGGCTGATGAACTCTCTTCTTTCAGGACATTTAGAATAGTATTTAATAGTGGGTTAACATTAATATATAGAAGTGATTCCTTTTGATTACCTTAAGCTTATCTTCCTATTGTGCAGTGGAGGTGTTTAATAAATAAATGAGAAAAAGTGTTTAGCCCAAAAGTGAGTTAGTATGAGTATCTGTTTAATTGGTTAGTCCATCTTAGTTATGATGCATACTGTGATGTTTACAAGATCTTTTTTAACTAATGTTGATTTCCTCTGTCAAAGACAATCTTTTTTTTTCTCCCCGTTTTAATGTGTTTTACAAGGTGATTATTTAAATCAACTGCAATTAACTTTTGTTGAAAATACTGGTAAAAGTGCATTGCCAGGCACAGATTTTGATTGGAGATGTCACCTTTTTCTTTCTTTTGCTGTTTATGAACTGGCATTGTGAGATTATGTTTTGGGACTAAACGTGTTAGGATTATGTGTAGTTGTGTGTTAAATCATGAAATGGGAGTGGCTTAAAGAAGATAAATAAAATGCTATCTCATTTGAAATATCTCCAAGAGCTGCGGAGTCTGCGACTAGTATTATGAATCCAGGAAATCATTAAGGCATCAAATGCCTTTCTGTTCGTCATCTTCAGTGTGCCTTAGTTATAGATGATTGGAAGGTGGTAGGGGAGAGGCAGGGAGAAAAGCAGAAATGACTTCTTTCCAGCAGAGCCAGCTATCTCTAAAGAGCATTCCAGAAATTCTACATACTCTTCCATTTAAATCTCATGGAGTAGAATGACCAAATGGAAGAGTAGATAAAGAAGTGAAAAATTGGGCATCCGTCACTTTCCTGAGGAAAGCAGGTCTTGTAACTAAAGGAGAATGGATTACTGCCTGGCATTTAGGAAATCTCTGCTATAGGGATATTAATTATGGATCTCCTCTATTAAGTAGGAGTTTAAAAATGATTATAAAGGATTTTTCCACAGTAGTCTGACTTTACTTTCTTGTTATGTAAATGTTAACTGAAAGCTAAATGTCAGAATAGTTTTAAGAAACACTGATGTATGCCATCCCACCAAATAGATGGCTTGATAGATGTTTCAAAATCTTTAAGACATTTTGATAAGTTACTTGAACATAAACTCTTATTTTATATATCTCCAGTCACACTCACATATAGTGTATGTTTGTGGCATAAATATTTTATTGAAAAAATTGAATTTTTATGCACAACTTTAACAACCTGGTTATTAATGTGGAATAGATCTTAATCTAAATGAATTTAGATTTACAAAATCTAATGGGACTAACAGTAATGTTTGATAAAATTCTAGTAAGTTTTAAAAATAACCAGTTTTGATAGAATGTAAAAATATATGGCACTTTTAAAAAAATCTGTGAAATGCACATAATGAAAATACTAAAGCAGCTTGGACAGTTTCTCTAAAACTTCAGGCTTTTTGTTGGGCTGGACAGTTTATGTAGGACTGACTGCCTGTCTGTTATAGAAAGTGCAGCAGTATCCCTGGATGCCACCCAATAGATGCCATTAGCATCGTCCATACTTGCCTCAGCTGTAACAACCAAAAATATTATAGGCATTGCAAGATTCCCCTTAACGGGGAAATTGCCCTTGGCACACGGTATATAACAAATACAACATTCTTTTAATTGTTGCCTTGTAAGTGTTGTGGTCTAGCTCTACCAGCATTTCTGAAAGTGAAAATATTGGGAGAACCAGGAACAACTGGTGATTTAAAAAATGTTTTATTCCCCTGCTATGGTAAAAAAGACTTTAATACTCATTCTTAAAATTTAATCTTCAGCTCTTAATTTTTATCCATGTGCTTATTTTAAGAAATACTATGTAGTGCAAAAAGACTGAAGTTGTTAATGCAGCCTTTGAGTTCCATCCATGTGAGAACAGAAACTCTAGCACTAACAAAACTAGAAGTCTGGTGGTATTTATTGATAAGACTTGGACCTCAACTTCCTGCTAATTTTGAACAGGTAATGTTTTAAGTGTTGATTCACACTTTGGTGGGTTTTTTTTTGTTGTTTTAATGTGTTCTTAAATTCTTACCAATCTAATCTTCCCATGTTAATACTGTTTGTGTTACCAGGTCACTATAACATATGAAAGCTTTTTTCCCCACACATAGAATTTGAGTTGAGTAAAAAAAAAACATTACTGAAGTAGAAATCAAGTACTACACTGAGTAGATTTAAAGTGGGATCAATAATTTTCCTATTCCCGTTTTCTAGGCTACATACTGCTAAGAGTCATTTAATCCCATCATAGCTTTCCAATATAGTTACAGGCGATTTTAAAAATTAATTTCATGCCCATAAACCTTTGGTAACCACAAATCTAAAACCTACAATGGCATAAGTACATATCTATCGATAATCACTCTAAATGTAAATGGACTAAATGCACCAAAAAGACATAGAAGGGCAGAATGGATAAAAAAAAAAAACAGGACCCGTCTACATGCTGCCAACAGGCTACTCATTTCAGACCCAAAGACATACACAGACTAAAAGTGAGGGGATGGAAAAATGTATTTCATGCAAACATTAGGGAGAAAAAAGCAGGAGTTACAGTACTTGTATCAGACAAAATAGACTTCAATGAAAGTAACGAGACAAGGATATTCCATAATGATAAAGGGGTCAGTCCAACAAGAGGATATAACAACCATTATAAATATCTATGCACCCAATATAAGAGCACCTAATTATGTGTAACAAATACTAACAATTAAAGGGGGAAATAGAATGCAATGCATTCATTTTAGGAGACTTCAACGCATCACTCCAAAGGACAGATCAACCAGACAGAAAATAAGGAGACAGGCACGGAACAACACATTAGAACACATGGACCTAACAGACATCTACAGAACACTCCACCCAAAAGTGGCAGGATACACATTCTTCTTAAGTATACATGGAATGTTTTCCAGAATAGATCACATACATACTAGGGCATAAAAAAGTTTTTAATTTTGCCAGCCACCTTTTCAGACCAGAGGTATGAAACTAGAAATAAATTATGCAAAGAAAAAAATTACCCTAAGATTTCAATCTCTGTGTGTGTGTGTGCGTGTGTGCGTGCGCGCGCACGTGTGTGTGTGTTTTCTTGGAAAGTGAATTGAATCCCGCACATTCATTGTCATAGTTTATTCATTGGCTAGATCTATCTGATAATGGAATGATTTTAGAAATTAACTTCAAGTCTTAGTTGTGCCTTTTAAAAACCTAACATGAGTCTGTCTACCTGTGTTATAAAGCTCAGGAAGATGTTACTTGCAAAAGTTTAATTACATGTATAGTTTTCTATCAAATTTAGAAAATATATAAAAAGTGCACAGCTATGGCAAATATAGGTGTAATACATTTTTTACATTTCCTAGTTTGTTTATAAAAGCTTGTGCATGAAAACAGCCAATAAAATTCGACATAGTAAAAGAATTTAGACTACTTCTTAAGGAAATTCAACAAAATTACACAAGATGTTAAAAAATTATGGCAATTATGCAATTTATAGATAGTTTTCCTTTAATAATTTTCATCCCTATAGGTTTGTGTGCCCCTGATCCAAAGCACAATAAGTAATGATGCTAATGCGTCTCCTCAAGGCAGTTTATCTCGTATAGCTACTTCTCCTGGTTTAAATCCTATGACTCCTTTACACAAAGGTAAGAGGTAGACATACTTTCTTTTTTTAAGGCTTTGGGTGAAGGTTTTTTTGTTCATTGTTACATGAAATCACTTCAGAATTTGGGCTTCCTTTTCACAAAATCCATTGTATCTTCTTGTTGGTTTTCCATATGTTACTGCCTTATTTGCATTATTATAGTTGGAAAAGGTCAACTTTTTTCCACTACACGTTAGATGCATTACAAATGACTGTTGTAGTTGTTTCAGAACCAGAACATTTGAGCTATTAAAAACAGCAGATCATAACATATGTAAGAAATGTGGTATATACTGTTGAAAGAAAATTATTTGCTAGTTACTACTTTGTTAGCTATTCTGAGTCAGATTTTTATATCTAAGTTCCAGGAATCCTGCCTATTAATATTTCAAGGTATGGATGAATGCCTTTGTTTAAATATGTGAACATTAAAATTGTTTACAACGTAGTAAAAGATTATTTAATTAGGAATGCTACTATAGGCTTTAAACAAAACCAGCTTTTATTTGAGAAGCTATTAGAAAGGTACATTTCCTTGAAATGAAGTAAACAATATATTCATTTGGTTAGCTAATTTAAGCTTGCATAAATTAATCTTTTTTTTTTTTTTTTTTTTTTTTACAGGCACTTCCCCATACGGAACCCCTGTAACTCCCCGGATGAACTTAAGTTCCAGTTTTGGTGGAATGGCCACAATCCCCTCTATTCAACTCTTGGGACTTGAAATGTTGCTTCATTTTTTGTTGGGTCCAGAAGTCTTGAGTTTTGCTAAGCAAAACAAACTTGTATTGAGCTTAGGTACTTGTTTTAAAAATAGTTTCAATTTTAAAACAATTAAAATACAGTGTATTGGGGTGAGGAGAGATAATGTTTTACCCCAGCCAGTATATTCTGTAATTATGTATATAATAAGTATAAATCTTTTTAGCCAAAAACATGTCACATGACCTAAAATTTCATATTGAGAAATGTGTTTCGTAAAGCTTTGGTTATGCATAATTCCCTTTTTTTCCCTCACTTTTAGAGCCACTTGAACATCCGTTAATCAACAGCTCCTCTTTTTTCTCTAAACATGCAAATACACTGATCACGGCTGTTCATGATAGTTTTGTTGCAGTTGGAAAAGATGCTTCTGGTCAGTATTTAAGAGATTTTTTTTTTTCTCTTTAAACTTATGTTTAGAACACTAAAATAGCAAATATTTGTATATTGCCACCTCTTGGCTAGATTCTGCTGCAAGAGCTTTACAAATAATTCATTTAATCATCACAGTAACTCTTACCTGTTAGTCCATTTTGCAGATGAGGACATTGCATTGTACAGAGAATTAAATGACTTGTGCAAAGTCACATAGTAAGCTATGGAGCTGTGATTCAAACCTCGATTCTGTAGTGCCTGCAGCTACACATAAACTTGTGTTTTATAGTCTATAAGATAGAAGAAATTTCAAAATTAAATAGTTTGTTATTCAACTAGTTGGGAAATTTTTTTCTAGTGGTTTTCTGAATGTTTATTTTTCCTTGTCTCAAAGTGAAAAATATCCAATACAGAGGACAAAAAAGAATAATTACCTTAAGTACATGATCTAATGTTAGTATGTTAACAGTCCTTTTATAAAACAACTTTCCTTAAACAAAAATGAGGTGATAGCTTCATAAATTATTTATAAGGTCAAGTATTATAAGAATTACATTTTAAATTATGAAGTTTTGCTCAGTTTATTTCTTTAAGGATGAAAGGAAGTCTTCATAGTCCTGTCTACATTGTTCTCAAATACTTAGGTTTTGTTTTGACAGATGCAGTTGTCAATGCTATTTGGAAGGAGCTAATTAGCTTGGTGAAGTCAGTTATTGAATCAGGTAAGCACTATAACTGATCAAATGATTTTTATAGCATGTAGAAGTGTTTGGCTTTAGTATTTAAAATCATCTTTTGAATGATTTTAATTTACATTTAGACAAAGTACTTCATTGATTTAGAAAAAAATTTTCATAGCTCTCCAAGTGTATATTTTTACCCCTAAAAATACTTAAGATTGTCTTATTACAGAATGTTTAATAGTTATGAAGTGTTACGTGAACCTTATGATAACCACAAACCTAAATCCTGTAACACACAAAAATTAAAAAGAGAAATCCAATCACTAAAGAAAACCGTCAATTAACAAGTATAAGAGAAAGAAACAGAGGAACTACAGAAACAACCAGAAAATAATAAAATGGCAATAAGTACATACCTATGACTGGTAACCTTAAATATAAATGGAGTGAATGCACCAATCAAAAGATAGGGGTGGCAGAGTGGATAAAGAAATAAAACCTATCTGTATGCTACCTACAAGAGGCTCATTTCAGACCCAGAGACAGGCAGACTGTCAGTGAAGGGATAGAAGAGGTTTTTCATGCAAATAGGAAAAAAACAGTAGTAGCAATACTCATTAGACAAAAATAGACTTCAAAATAAAGAAAGTAACAAGATAAAGAAGGATGTTACATAATGATAAGCGATCACTGTAACAAGAGGATATAACCACTAATATATGCACTCAAGGTAGAAGCACCTAAATATGTATGACAAATAACTAACTGAATTAAAGGGGGTAATAATTGGGACTCATTCATTTTTGGAGACTTAACACCACTCACGTCAAAAGATCAAGAGAAAATAAGGATACAGAGGCACTGAACAGCACCTTATATCAGATGGACTTAACAGATAATCTACAGAACACTCCACCCAAAGACTGCAGGATACATACTTTCTCAAGTGTACATGGAATGTTCTCCATAGATCACATGCTAAGCCCACAAAGAGCCTCATTAAATTCAGAAAGATTGAAATTGTATCAAGCAACTTGTCAGATCAGTGGTATGAAACTAGAAATAAATTACACACAAAAAAGCTCAGAAACACATGGGAGTCTAAACAGCATGCTTCTAAACAGTGGATCAGTGAACAAATTAAAACAAGCAATACATGGAGACAGAAAAAAACAGCAGTCAAAAATTTGTGGAATGCTGCAAAAGCAATTTTATAAGGGAAGTACATAGCAGTATAGGCCGACCTCAACACACAGGAACAATCCCAAGTAGTCTAAACTCACAACTAAAGAAACTAGAAAAACGAAGTAACGAAAGTAAGGAGGGGTAGAATGAATGTTAGGGCAGAAATAAAGTAGAAAACAATGAAACAATAGGAAAAAGTCAATGAAACCAAGAGCTGGTTCTTTTGAGAAGATAAAATTGACAAACCCCTAGCCAGACCTGTCCAGAAAAAAGGGGGTCACAAATAACAAAACCAGAAACAGAAAAGGAATAGTTACAGCTGTCACAATGAAAATAGAGAATTTTATAAAAAATCATACTAATAAGTTGGACAACCTAGCAGAAAATGGACAAATTCCTTAAAAAATACAACCTTCCAACACTGACCTAGGGAAAAAACAGAATCTGAGAAAGACAAGTTGTAGTAATGAAATTGAATTGGTAATAAAAAAACTCCCAAAAACAAACTACCAGGACCAGTTGGCTTCACAACTGAATGTTCCCCCGACTTCAAGCTACGCTACAAAGCTACAATAATCGAAGAGTATGGTACTGGCACAAGAACAGACCCATAGATCAGTGGAACAGAGCCCAGATTATAAATCCCACACATACATGGTCAATTAATATCTGATAAAGGGGCCATGAATACACAATGGGGAAAAGACAGCCCCTTCCATAACTGGTGTTGGGAAAGCGACAACTACATGTAAGAGAATGAAACTGGATTATTGTCTTAGAACACAAAAGTAAACTTGAAATGAATCAAAGACTAAATGTATGATGTGAAACCATAAAACTCTTAAAACATACGCAAAAATGTCTTGGAGATAAGCAAGAGCAATTTTTTCCTGGGCATGTGTCCTTGGGCAAGGGAAACAAAATTGAAAACAAGTGGGACTACATTAAACTTTAAAAGCTGTGAAACAAATGATACAATCTGCAGAACAAAAAGTCACCCTACAGTATGGGAGATTATATTCATAAAGAATTCATTCAGTATGGGGTTAAAATCCAAAATACATAAGAGCTCAAAATGTCTCAACACCAAAAATCAAATGACCCAATTAGAAAATGGGTGGAGGACCTGAACAGACGCTTCTCCAAAGAAATACAAATGGTCAACAGGCACATGAAAAGGTGCTTCTTAATCACTAATCATCAGGGAAATGCAAATCAGAACCCCAATGAGATATCAATTCATACCAGTTAGTGACCACTATCCAAAAGACCTGAAGAAAACAAAAAACCTGATTTGTAAAGATACATGCACCCCTGTGTATATCACTGCATTATTTACTATAGCCAAGTTATGGAAGCAACCTAAGTGTCCATCAATAGATGAATGGGAGAGGTGGTGCATATATACAGTGGATTGTTACTCAGCCATAAAAGTATCCTGCCATTTGCCACCACATGGATGGATCTATACAGTATTGCACTAAGTGGATTAAGCCAGGAAGAGAAAGACAAATACCATATGATTTTACTTATTTGTGGAATATAAAAATGAAGTAGAAAAAGGAACAAAACAGTAGAGTTAAAGACACAAAAGTGACAGGTATTAAAATGTTGGAGAGGCTGGTGAAGGTGGGTTGGGAGGGTGAGGGGAATAAAAGGGCACATAAATTCTCAAACCTAAGTTGGTCACAGGCATGGTAGTACAGCATGGAGAATATTTGCCAGTGATTCTGTAACATCTTCCCATACTGACAGTAACTGTACTAGTAGGTTGAAGATTTAATAGGTAACTGTTGAACGACTGTGTTGTATACACCCCCTCTTTTTATCCTTTTGCTCTCTGCTGTTTTTTTAATAAGGTATCATTAATATACACTCTTAGGTTTCACAAGAAAAACAATGTGGTTAATACATTCACCCTTATTATCGAATATCCCCCCATACCTCTTTGCAGTCACTGTCTGTCCATCACTGTTGTAGTAAGATGCCAGAGTCCCTACTTGTCTTCTCTGCTACACTGTCTTCCCCGTGACCCCACACACACCATGTGCACTAATTATGATACCCCCATATTCCCTTCTCCTTCCCTTCCCACATGCCCTCTGCAACCGCTAGTCATGTCTTGGAGTCTGTGAGTCTGCTGCTATTTTGTTCCTTCAGTTTTACTTTGTTGTTATACTCCACAAATGAGTGAAATCATTTCGTGTTTGTCTTTCTCTGCCTGACATGTCACTGAGCATAACACCCTCTAGCTCCATACATGTTGTTGCGAATGGTAGGATTTGTTTTTTTTCATGGCTGAATAGTATTCCATTGTGTATATAGACCACTTCTTTATCCATTCATCTACTGATGGACACTTAGATTGCTTCCATTTCTTGGCTATTGTAAATAGTGCTGCAATAAACATAGGGGTGTGTATATGTTCTTGAATCTGAGATCCTGCTTTTTTTGGGTAAATTCCTAAGAGTGGAAATTCTGGGTCAAATGCTATTTGTATTTTTAGGTTTTTGGGGAATCTCCATATTGCTTTCCACAATGGTTGAACTAGTTTACATTCCCACCATCAGTGTAGGAGGATTCCCTTTCTCCGCAACCTCACCAGCATTTGTTGTTCTTAGGTTTTTTAATGTTGGGCATCCTAACTGGTGTGAGGTGATATCTCATTGTTCATATCCTCACCCATTTTTTAATCAGTTTATTTGCTTTTTGTGTGTTTAGGCATGTGAGTTTGTATTTTGTATTTTAATCCCTTGTCGGATGTGTCGTTTACAAATACATTTCTCCCATACTGTAGGATGCCTTTTTGTCCTGCTGATGGTGTCCTTTGCTGTACAGAAGCTTTTTAGCATGATGTAGTCCCATGTATTTATTTTTGGTTTTGTTTCCCCTTGCCTGAGGAGATGCATTCAGGAAAAAGTTGCTCATGTTTATATTCAAGAGATTTTTGCCTATTTTTTCTTCTAAGAGTTACGATTTCATGACTTACATTCAGGTCTTTGACCGATTTCAAGTTTACTTTTGTGTGTGGGGTTAGACAACAATCCGGTTTCATTCTCTTGCATTTAGCTGTCCAGTTTTGCCAACACTAGTTGCTGAATAGGCTGTCATTACCGCATTGTATGTCTGTGTCTGTTTTATCATATATTAATTAGCCATATATGCTTGGGTTTATATCTGGGCTCTCTAGTCTGTCTCATTAGTCTGATTACCTTGCTTTTGTAGTAGAGCCAGAAGTCGGGGAGTGTAATCCCCCCCAGCTTTATTCTTCCTTTTCAGGATTGCCTTAGCTATTTAGGGTCTGTTGTGGTTTCATATGAATTTTAGAACTATGTTTTCTAGTTCATTGAAGAATGCTGTTGGTATATCCATAGGGATTGCATTGAATCTGTAGATTGCTTTAGGCAGGATGGCCATATCAACAATATTAATTCTTCCTATCCATGAGCACAGGAAGTATTTCCATTTATTGGTATCTTTAATTTCTTTAATGAGTGTCTTATAGTTTTCAGGGTATAGGTCTTTCACTTCCTTCATTAGGTTTGTTCCTAGGTGTTTTTTTTTGTTTTTTGTTTTGTGAGAGGGCATCTCTCATATTTATTCATCAAATGGTTGTTAACAACAATACAATTCTGTATAGGGGAGTCAATGCTCAATGCACAATCATTAATCCACCCCAAGCCTAATTTTCGTCAGTCTCCAATCTTCTGAAGCATAACGAACAAGTTCTTACATGGTGAATGAATTCTTACATAGTGAATAAATTCTTACATGGTGAACAGTACAAGGGCATTCATCACAGAAACTTTCGGTTTTGATCACACATTATGACCCATAAACAATCAGGTCAAATATGAATATTCATTTGATTTTTGTACTTGATTTATATATTGATCCCACATTTCTCTCTTTATTATTATTATTATTTTTATTTTTAATAAAATGCTGAAGTGGTAGGTAGATGCAAGATAAAGGTAGAAAACATAGTTTAGTGCTGTAAGAGAGCAAATGTATTCCTAGGTATTTTATTCTTTCTGATGCAGTTGTGAATGGAATTGTTTTCCTGATTTCTCTTTCTGTTCGTTAGTGTGTAGAAACGTGCAATGGATTCCTGTGTATTAATTTTGTGTCTTGCAACTTTGCTGAATTCAGATATTAGGTCTAGTAGTTTTTGGGATCCTTTAGGGTTTTTTGTATACAATATCATGTCATCTGCAAACAGTGACAGTTTAACTTCTTCCTTGCCAATCTGGATGCCTTTTATTTCCTTGTGTTGTCTGATTGCCGTGGCTAGGACCTCCAGAACTGTGTTGAATAAAAGTGGGGAGAGCGGGCATCCTTGTGCCAGATCTTAAAGGAAAAGCTTTCAGCTTCTTGCTGTTAAGTATGATGTTGGCTGTGTGTTTGTCATATATGGCCTTTATTATGTTGAGGTACTTGCCCTCTATACCCATTTTGTTGAGAGTTTTTATCATGAATGGATTTGAATTTTGTCGAATGTTTTTTCAGCATCTATGAAGATGATGTGGTTTTGTCCTTTTTGTTGATGTGTATGTTGTTGATGGATTTTTGAATATTGTACCATCCTTGCATCCCTGGAATAAATCCTACTTGATCATGATGGATGACCTTTTTGATGTACTTTTGAATTTGGTTTGCTAATGTTTTGCTGAGTATTTTTGCATCTCTGTTCATCAAGGATATTGGTCTGTAATTTTCTTTTTTTGTGGTGTCTGCCTGGTTTTGGTATTAGAGTGATGCTGGCCTCATAGAATGGGTTTGGAAGTATTCCCTCTCCTACTTTTTGGAAAACTTTAAGGAGGATGGGTATTAGGTCTTCTCTAAATAAATGTTTGGTAAAATTCATTGGTGTAGCCATCTGGTTCACGCATTTTGTTCTTAGGTATTTTTTTTTATTGCTAATTCAGTTTCATTGCTGGTAATTGGTCTGTTCATATTTTCTGTTTGTTTCTGGGTCAGTCTTGGAAGGTTGTATTTTTCTAGAAAGTTGTCCATTTCTCCTAGGTTATCCAGTTAGGATATAATTTTCATAGTATTCTCTAATAATTCTTTGTATTTCTGTGGTGTGTGTAGTGATTTTCCCTTTTTCATTTCTGATTCTGATTATGTGTGTGGACTCTTTTTTCTTGATAAGTCTGGCTAGGGGTTTATCTATTTTGCTTATTTTGTCAAACAACCAGCTCCTTTCATTGATTCTTTGTATTGTTTTATTCTCGATTTTATTTATTTCTTCTCTAATGTTTATTATGTTTCTCCTTCTACTGACTTTGGGCCTCATTTGCTCTTTTTCTAGTTTCGTTAATCGTGAGTTTAGACTTTCTATATGGGATTGTTCTTTCCTCGGGTGGCCAGTATTGCAATATAGCTCTCTTTTAGCATGGCCGTCATTGTGTCCCACAGATTTGTGGTATTGAATTATTGTTGTCATTTGTCTCCATATATTGCTTGATCTCTTTATTTGGTCATTGATCCATTTGTTATTTATGAACATGTTAATCCTCCATGTGTTTGTGGGATTTTTCATTTTCTTTGCATAATTTATTTCTAGTTTCATACCTGTGTGTTCTGAGAAGCTGGTTGGTACACTTTAAATGTTTTCTAATTTCCTAAGGCTCTTTTTGTGGCCTAGTATATGATTTATTCTTGAAAATGTTCCATGTGCACTTGAGAAGAATGTGTATCCCGCTGCTTTTGGGTGGAGAGTCCTGTAGATGTCTGTTACGTCCATCTGTTCTAATGTGTTGTTCAGTGTCCTCTGTCTCCGTATTTTCTGTCTGGTGGATCTGTCCTTTGGAGTTAGTGGTGTGTTGAAGTCTCCTAAAATGAATGCATTGCATTCTATTTCCCCCTTCAATTCTGTTAGTAGTTGTTTCACATATGTAGGTGCATACATATTTATAATGGATATATTCCCTTTGTTGGACTGACCCCTTTATCTTTAGGGAATGTCCTTGAAGTTTGTCTCTTGTGAATTTGTTTTGAAGTCTATTTTGTCTGCTACAAGTACTGCAAGTTATTCTTTTTTCTCCCTATTATTTGCATGAAATATCTTTTTCCATCACCTCACTTTTATCTTTGTATGTCTTTGGGTTTGCAGTCAGTCTTTTGTAGGCAGCACATGGACAGGTCTTGTTTTTTTTATCCATTCAGTGACTGTCTTTTGATTGGTGCATTCAGACCATTTACATTAGACTGATTATCAGTAAGTAGGTACTTACTGCCATTGCAGGCTTTAGATTCGTGGTTACCAAAGGTTGAAGGGTAACTTTCTTACTAACAGTCTTAATTTTTTTAGCATGCTATTACAAATACAATATAAAGGTTCTTTGTTTTCCCTCCTTTTTCTTCCTCCTCTATTCTTTGTATATTAGGTATCATATTTTGTTGTCTTTGTCCCTTGACTGAGTTTGGGTATAGTTGATTTGGTTTTGTATCTGCTAAGTAATTGTTGTACCTTATTTATTGTCGTTTTATTTCCTCTGGTGACAGCTATTTAGCCTTACGAACAGTTCTGTCTGTTGCAGTCCCTCCAAAATATACTGTAGATATGGTTTGTGAGAGGTAAATTCTCTCAGCTTTTGCTTATCTGAAAATTGCTTAATCCCTCCCTCAAATTTAAATAATGATCTTGCTGGGTGGAGTATTCTTTGTTCAAAGCCCTTCTGCTTTATTGCATTAAATATATCATGCCACTCCCTTCTGGCCTGTAAGGTTTCTGCTGAGAAGTCTGATGGGTTTTCCTTTGTGATCTTTTTTTCTCTCTCTGGCTGCTTTTAAAAGTCTGTCCTTGTCCTTGATCTTTGCCATTTTAATTATTATATGTCTTGGTGTTGTCTTCCTTGCGTCCTTTGTGTTTTGAGATATGTGTACCTCCATGGCCTAAGAGACTACTCCCCAGATTTGGGAAGTTGTCAGCAGTTAGGTCCTCAAGGACACTTTCTATCCCTTTTTCTCACTCTTCTGGTACACCTATGATACGAGTATTGTTCTGTTTGGACTGGTAATACAGTTCTCTCAGTATTTTTTCCTAGTGATCCTTTTTTCTCTCTGTGACTCAGCGTTGTATTCATCTTTTCTAATTTCTGTTCAGTTTACCATCTCCTCTACTATATCTAATCTGCTTTTAAATCTGTTCATTGTATGTTTCATTTCAGATACTGAATGCCTTAATGATTGAATCTCAGTCCTGAATTCATCCCTGAGTTGAATATTTTTCTGAGTCTCCATAAGCATGTTTATCATTTTTATTTTGAAATAACTTGTAGTAAAATTGATGAGTTCAGTTTTCACTTGGCTCTTTTTCTGGTGGTTGTGGTATTTTGGTTTGAACCAGGTTTCTTTCATGATTCATATTTGTACGTGACGCCCTCTAGTGCCCAGAAGCTATCCTCTCTGGAGCTGCTCAGCCCCTGGAGCTATGTCAGTAGGGGAGTGGTACTGATGCCTGGGGGCAGGAAAGAGATGTTTCCTGCTTCCCCGCTACTTTGCCTGTCTCCACTGCCAGAATCAGTGGACCTACCTCACAGGTTTAAGCATCTACGCCTTGTATTTGTAGCTGCTGTATGCAGGGCTTCCCTCTGGCTCACCTGATGCCAGGGTAGGGCCTACCTGTTTGTGTATTGTTGCTGGCCTGCTGGGAGGCAGGCACAGCAGGCTGCCTGTTACAGTGCAGGACCTCATAGCTGCATAGCCAGCCAGGAGTCTGAGGTGCCTGAAGGTCCTGCAAGTTCCCATCCTGGTGGGCAGAGTGTGCCCACACAGTTTTGTCCACCGGTCCTTTCTCCGGAGCAGCAAGTTCTGTGCAATCCTTGCCCCTTTAGCAGTGCTCTTGCTGTTAGGAAATCTCTCAGACTGCCCACCTTTTTTTTTGTCCATAGCAAGCAGCTGGATGTGGATTCTTGTTTTCCACAAATGTCTGGAGTCTGTCTCTCCAGGTGTTCTGCTTGTCTTAGGTTTTCTAACCCACTAATCTCCAGAGCACCATACAATGTAGGTTCCTGCTCCCAGAGAAGATCTCCAGCACTGGTGTTGAGCAGTCCTAGGCCTCCGCCTCCTCATGCTAGGTTTCTCTTCCTCCTGCTGGTGAGCTGGGGTTCGGGAAGGTCTTGGGTCCCTCTGGATCACTGCGCTGGTCCCACCAGATTTTGGCTTTGGTACATTACCTTGTTGTGTTTGGTCTGTTCTTTTCTCCAGGTGTGTGCAGTCTGTTGCAGCCCTCTTTCCTGTTGCTCTTTCAGGATTAGTTGTATGAACTATATTTTCATAATATATGCGGTTTTGGGAGGAGGCCTCTGTCTCACCTTGCATACTGCTATCTTTAATCCTCTCCCTCCTTTTGCTTTTTGATAGGTAATAAAAAAGAGAGACCAGGTTCTGAAGTTTTGACTCTCTTACTAAAATCTTTGGGAAGTATAGTGAAGTCAGATTTATTTCCTGTATCGAAAACACTGGTAAGTGTGGTACCTATATGCCAGAATTTAAAGATCATATTCTAAAATTGAATTTTATGTTGGAGATAATTCCACAGATTTATTGCATGTATTTATCAGCAGTTTAGTCATACAATAAATCATTCCATGGACTTTAGAGTCACTTGAAACCTTAATAAAGTAAATTACTATAATGGCAACTACAAAAATCTGCCAATGTGATTAGAAGAGAGTAAGTGATACAAGTGAAATGGGATAAAGGACATGAAACTTAAACAGAAGTAACTCAGATGAACACTAATTTTATGAGTAGATTGCTAAACTCCACTAATTGTTTATACATTAAAAAATATCTGGTAACATTTTGAAGCTTTTGCGTTTTAAGTAAATTCTTTTTAACAAAGACTGACTTTGAAAGTATTAGAGACATTTTATAATCTTTTATACCAGAAAAAAAAAGCAAAATGGGTATGTTTTTTATAATTGTCTCCCAAAAGAAGCTACAGATGAAACATACTGTACCCTTACTTAAATTTTTTCTAAATCTTAAGAGAGTATCTTGACAGTGATATCTACTATGGCAGTAGAGCACAGTGGTTCATATCAAGGGCTCTGGAACAGACTAAGTTGAATCTCAGCTGAAGTACTAGCTTAGTTAATTTGGGTAATTTACTCTCTTGTTTTTTTGTAAAGAGGAAATATAGTAGTACTTCATAATTAAATGAGTTGATACAGTCAGAATACTATGGGCTAGGAACAAAATAAATGAATCAGTTAACAAATGCTATTTTTATTATCATTAGTGTCTGCTTCAAATGAGAATATGTGAAAGCATATTTTCACCAATATAAGCTTTTTTGTCATATTGTTACATCACTTAAGTTACATAGCTCAGGTTAATACCAGTGTAGTGATAGTTTTCGATGGCAGTTCGGTAGGTTCTATCACATTAAAGAGGTGTGTTTTATACCTAGCTTCTAGAATGTCTAGAAAAGTAAAACTCCAAACTGTTAGCATTGGTTATCCATGGAGATGAAGGATTTTGTCACTTTTTATATTCTGTATTTGAAGTTTTTAAATTAATGTAAGTATATTCACATTAATGTAAAAATATTACTATATTTGAACTTTTTAAACTGATGAGAATGTTTTTAATGAATAATTTTAATAAATTGTCAAATTTAACATAATTAACATTACTGAATTTGTATTAGTAAGTACTATTTCTGTGGCTGATTTACAGATAAACCTTTTATTTTTCTTAGGTCATCATGGAAATTACAGTTAAAGGACTTCCTCAGAAAGTATTAGGTTCACCAGCATATCAGGTTGCTAATATGGATATTCTTAATGCAAGTATCTTAAATGTAATGAAATGATAAAATGAGCAAAAAAAGGAGTTTCATGGTATTCCTTTTTTTAAAATAGCAAAACTTAGATTATAAAATTCTGAGAGAATTGGATTTGGATATGCTTATTATTTTAAAATGGAAACTGATAAAGTAATAGATTAATATAAATAATTAAATGTCTTGCTACTAATAGAACCATTTTCATGCATTAAACAGAGTTCCACAGCAAAGTATTTATTTGCTTATAAATAATAAAAGTGCTGGTTACCAGTACAGATTTTGGAAGCTTAGTAACATTGCCTAATTATGGTGAAATGTACTTAATATCTGTAGGATGTAGGTATTGTTGGGTCCAACAAGTTTTGTTTTTTTTTAATCCAGAATTTCTTTGCTCATGTAGATGGAACAGCTATGATTAAAACATAAGGAGCTTGCTTTTTGTGTGTAATTTCTGGAAATACTTTTGTTGTAATTTTTGTCATATATCCTAAGTAGTATCAAAAGTTAAATCTCTCAAGCATAAAAGGACATTTCACATGATTGTAGAAAATAAGTGTAACAAGAAGATTGATTGCAATCTCCCATCTTTCTTCAGGGGACTCCTGCTTTGTTCTTAATTCAGTTAATTTTCAACAGTCTTGTCCACTGTGGTGTAGAAGATGAGAGGTAATTAAGACTGAAGTTACTCTTTATGTTCATCTTGCAAGGGTTTCCTGTGATTAATGAGATTCGTTTGAGTTATATACATTATGAATTTTTAAATTAAAAAATTAAGACTTGGAACTTGGGAATTTTTGTCTTTGTCAGTTTATTTGATAATTTTGTAGTGTAATTAATGTATTTTGGCAAAAAGTGCAGGTTAATGCATGGCTCAAAATTTTTTCTTCAGGTTTTTTGTCAGTCTGGAAACACTTGTAGGCTGTGTTCTTTCTGGTCCAACTTCACCACTAGCTTTCAGTGATTCTGTTCTTAATGTTATTAATCAAAATGCAAAGCAGCTGGAAAACAAGGAGCATCTGTGGAGAATGTGGAGTATTATAGTGACTCCATTAACTGAATTGATTAATCAGGTATGATAAAGTCTACTACATATCTCTCCCAAAGTTTAAGGAGTTTTCTTCCTTTTTTTCTTGTTAGAGCACATGGGGAAAGAAATAGAAGTTAGAATTTGAATAAGAGACACTACATATTTTTTCCTGTGATTGGTTGTTTTTCTGATTTTCAGTTGATTCCATGGTATTTCTGCCTCATTGTGCAAGAAAGTGTAACAGTGAGAAATAATGAGGTTCATTTTCTCTAGAAGGCTCATGTTCAATATTTAAAAATCTTCATATTCATATCTTGATTATTTTCAGTATTTGTACCATGGGATATAATAATGAAATCTTGACTACCCTGTATATTCTTGGGATTCCCATGGTCAAGCTATGTTGTTTATGACTTCAAAGCCATATTGTAGACCCTAAATCATTAATCTGTTGAGGGTTGACTAAACCCTTTACATTTAGATACTTATAAAGTGGCAATATTGGCAGGATATGGTGCTCAACTTCTGTCACTTAATGGTTCACCAGCAGCTTTATCAGTCTTTAAATGGAAGTATATACCCTGGGATATACTCTGCTGTAATTCAAATACTAAGTTTCCAAAAAATTAAGTGATAGTACAATAACAGTTATTTTGGCTACTCAGTTCAGCACACCATTAAACATATTCTGAGAGAAAAAAGTTAACAGTGAAAAGTTTACACTTCTAAATAGTTCCCCACTGGAGGATTGCTGTGGTCCTTTTTTGTAAGTCCTTGTTTGAATGCTCCCTTCCTCATATAGTATATTTTGTAGTTAACCTCTGGGATTCTTTTTTAGGACTTACAGCTTTGGAAGCCAGAAATCTAAAACTGTATTGGCAGGGTTGGTTGAAGCTGTGAGGGAAAATGTGTTCATGCCTGTCCTAGCTTACATTGGCCATAGGCAATTCTTGATGTTCTTGGCTTATATATGCATCAGTCTTAATCACAGCGTCCCTCTTGAATGACATTCTTACCTGTCTTCTCTAGATCTCCCTTGTAAGGATACCAGTTACTGATTAGGGTCCCTCAATCCAGATGATTGCATTTTAACTTGACTACATTTGCAAATGACTCTATTTCCAAATAAAGTTAATTTCACAGAGGGTCAGGTGTTCACCATCTCTTGAACACTCCAATATTGGGGGACAGAATGCTACTCACTACACAAAGTAAGATGTTATTACTTAAAACTAGGATTAAATGGTAATTTTCTAACTTCATTATGTTTTTTGTTTCAGACCAATGAAGTGAATCAAGGTGATGCCTTAGAACATAATTTTAGTGCCATATGTGGTGCATTGACTTTACCAATAAACCATATTTTTCCAGTACAGAAATTTCCAGTGGTAAAGCATTTTCATATCTTTTGCTTGAGGGATTTGCATTTTTCTGAAAATACTATTTCACCCTTTGTAATGAATTTTTGTAGTAATTTTTCCTGAAATTTCTTTATGCCTTAACAATCAACTTAAGGGAAAGGAAAATGGTGAAGGAAGAGATAAGTTTCTCTTGACGTTTGATAATGGCTGGTAATGCAGCAGCATTAGAATTCTCAATTAGCACTCTGTGCAGGGTAAAAACTTAGTATGTGTGCTAGTCTGTGACACCTTCCTTAAACATTAGTGTTTAGGATGTATTCTTTTAGGTATTGTATATGTAAATACACATTTGTAAAATTTCTTTTTTGTTGTTAGGCCACCATGAGGGCCCTACATAAAACTTGGTCCAAATTGTATAGAGCATTTGCTCGCTGTGCTGCTCTTGTGGCAACTGCAGAAGAGAATCTATGCTGTGAGGAACTTGCTTCCAAGATAATATCCAGTTTGGAAGATGAAAACTTTTCCGTGAGTTTATCCTGACACTGACTTCTTTTATATTTAGAAGATTCTTCTCGAGTAAATGGAGATAACATTTGTGAACTATCATTTATTAATGTTTTTAGTTTATTAAGTGGACTAAATTATTAGTAATGTATAAAACAAGTAACAGTGTTGTGAAACACTTTTGTCTTTGGCCTCTAAGGTCTGAGTTTCAGGAGTATTAACAGTGATGCACTTTTACTACTCTTATGTACCTGTGTATGGCTGTGCTGTTCTAGATTGCAGTCCAAGGACCTTGCTCTCCTGAAGCTTATATTGTCATATAAGGTCTTTAAAGGCATTCCTCTGTAAGTTTATGGACTTAAAACTTAGATCCCTTTTCACTCCTTTACCTTACTTAGTTAAAAAGCACAACTACAGTTCGGTATGTATCATTTTAGAGTGGACCTATTTGTATTTATGCATGTAATTTACATATTCTTGCTTATTGTATGTAAATATAGAATTCTTGCTATTTGAATTGTTTTATTACTCTGAAACATGTTTTCTTTGGTCTGAAATGATTTTTAGCTCTTGTTAGTAATTATTGGTGAAAAGAGATCTGTCAAGAGCTAGAAATACATCTTCAGTTTTCTAATGCTATTATAGTATCTTAAAATATTGGCACAGTTCTGATTGTAGTATTTTGATAGTCTATCAGAATAGCTTTAAAATTGTAAATCAGATCTTGTCACTCTTAAAACACTTCGTAGCTTTCTGTTGCTTGGAATAAAAATATGAACTGCTTGCAACAGGCTATAACACTTGATCTTCCTTCTCCAAGGGTTCTTATTTAATTAGGTTGGTTAATATCTAACATAGCAACTTGTCATTTTCTTTGGTACTTACCTCAGAATTGTGTACTTCCATTATGTTACTTCACCCACACTCCATGAAGTTAGGGACATTTTTACTGATGGGTATCCCTGGCATTTATCTGGCACATAAATCATAAATTTCTTGAATGTTGTTATTACTTAAGGAGAAGGTTGACCCTCAGTTTTTACCTTTTAAGTATTGTCTTGGTTAGGCTTAGATCTTTTGTTCTTTTCTGGAAGAGAATCTGTCAAGTTTAAAAACCCTGTTGAGATTTTGCTGAGCATTGGTTGGCTATACTGAATTCATAGATAAATTTGAAAAAAAATTTATACATTATAAAATGTTGAAACTTTCCATCCAAGAATATTTGTGTTCATGTATTTAGTTTTTCTAAAGTTAACCTATTAACTTGCTTGATTTTGGGTAGTTTTAAAGCTGTTTTCAGCTATTGTAAAAGCCTCTGGTATATACCTATACTCTGCTGCTGTTGGAGTGTATAGAATTGTTGACATGACAATGTGCATTTCTTTATATTGAACCAATTTCCTGTTCCTTGGAAACCCTTCTTGGTCACAGTGAAATTTCTTTTAAAATGTTGCAGATGAGTGTTTTAAGGTTTTACATATATATTCATTAGTGGGATTGCAGTTCCTCATTAACTAGTTTTTGTGTTGTTGAGATACTAAGCTCTTGAATGATACAAATAGTTGTAAATTTTACTGTATTCTTTAATGATTTAAATAGTGTAAGAAAAATGTCATATCTAGTTATATTACCTATTTTAAGTTGTTGGAAAAAAGCATTTAGTTTTGTGCCTTTTGAAAGAATGTTACAAATACATTAAAAAGACTGAGAAGGTGGACTTTTGATTTTTAAACTTTGTCTTATTTAAATATACTGAATGTCTTTGTTTCCATTTTTGTTACTTTCTAGCTTAAATCTGAAGGTTTTGCTTTCATCTTTTATAATATATAACTAAGACTTTTTATTACTGGTATCAGTAACCATAGGATATTCATTTTGATGTCTTTTTAGAACAGGGTTATTAGAAGTGTGCTTTTTCATGTAAGGGAATAATTTATTTGTGTGTGTGCCAATTTTGTCAGTAATTTTTAGTTTTGTTTTGTGATCAGAGAATTCTTTGTTTATGACTTGTAATTTTGGAATCTATCTTGTACATTATAACTCCTTGCAGTAGTTTTATAATTGTCCATTTCTCAGACTTGATAAAGTGTCTTCCTGAGTGGATTTGATGATTTTGAACATGTTATGTATTACATGTTTTAATGCTATATTGTTAAACCTGAAGGTTCATGGCCAGTACATATTCATGGTAATGAGTTCCTCTTTACTGCCTTTTCCTTCAGTTTTACCAACTGAAATTAATACACTGATATCTTTTTGAGAATTTGTGCCATCTTTTAAAAGAAAAAGAACTTACTGAGCAATACAAAGAAAATTGCTTGAAACTGTGCAGTTTGACAAATTACACTGAAACACTTAAGTAGCCACCACCAAGGTCAGTTAATGTAGAGCATTGTCCGCACCTTTGACACTTCCCTGTGCATTTAAAATCAAAATGTCCTCCACTTTCTAAAGAGTGAATTACTATCCTTCTTTAAAAAAATTTCCTTTACTATACATACACACATAAACTGTATACATTTGTTTACTTTCCTCCCTCTTTAAAATTTTATGTGACTGAAGTCATGCTTGTCTGTCTTTTTGGCTCTATTACATTTGGGAGGTTTGTAATGTATTTGAGTTCGTACACTTCACTGTTTAATTATTCCATTGTATGGATTTAGGATTTTCTTTGTATCTATTTTAACCTTTCTGTGTCTTAACATAGCATATAAGTAAATATGGGGATCTGTTTTAGTAAGCATTTAATCTCATACATAGTAAAAAAGGGTATATGTTACTATAATTTAGATGTTTTTTTCTTTTCACATAACATTTTAATCAAGCTTGAAGCTTTAGGAAACTGTATTATATATATTATTTCTTTCAGCCTCTACTCTTAACCTATATTTATGTCAGATTTGAAGAATTAATCTCTCTAATACCTACCCCAACAAAGAAAGTGATGTAACATCAGTATCCCACAAAGTTTTATGCTTGCCACCTTTCAGGTATTGTTGAAAAATCTGAACTTCAGTTATAACAATTACTATGTATATTAATATACAGGGTATCACAAAACTTGGAAAATAAATGTATTTTCAAAAATGGGGATAACCTGTTGCTCAACTTCGTTTCTTATACTCCCTTTTTTTCCCATTCTTGTTTTGCTTCACCATATTTTATACCTTAGGGAAAAAAAGGCCAATTTTTAGCACACTTGATACATATATGACTCATACCTCATCCAATACACAGTCCATTGATTAGTTAAGATTTTAAAGTTGCAGAAAAGTTATATTGCAGGATTTTGAAATTATTGTTCATTTGTTTCAGCTTTTACTGACAGTAGTTTATCCTAATGCTTTTTTTTTCTTTTCCTTACTAGTCAACCTCCTTTTTGTTCTGTAAAGTTTTAGGATTTTTCTCTTGTCTTTGGAATTTTAGAAATCTCAGCAGGATGTGTCATGGGGGGCATCTTTTAAAATTATTCTTCTAAGTACTTAAAAGACCTTTTCAGTCTACAGAGCTGTTCCTTCCTCTCAGGAAAATTGCTTTGCTCCTCAGCCCTTCTGTTTTTGAGTCCCGTTTCAGATAGTTTTTAGATCTTTTGGGTTTCTCTTCTGTGTCCCTTTTCTTTATCTACATCTGTTTGCATTTTGTATTGGTACTGCGTTCTGGGAGCTTGATATTTCTGTGTCTCTTCTTTTGCAGTGTAAATCCTGAGGTGTTTTATACCGATCTTGTTTACCTTTAGTATTTTAAAAAATCAATGATTTCCTCTTACCTCTGGATATTAATTTTTTTTGGTTTCCTTTCTAGCTCTGGATTAGTTCTGTTGGTGGGTAGCACACCTTCATGGTACTGTTTCTCCTCATGGTTGTGCATCTTTGTCAGTAAAGGTTAATGTACTGAGCAATGCAGGCAGCTGGAATGGTGTTTCTTAACCCAGGAAAGAAAACCCTATTTTCTTGGGTTTGTTAGCAAATTGTAGTTAGAGGAATCCTTTACCTTGTAACTGAGCAACAAGGAAGCACAGGAACCATGGGTTCCTGTAAGAATGTATGAATGTGTAGATTGTCAATGTGGACTGACCTCCCACTCCCACGTGGGGCACTGCCTTTCTTCTTCTGGCCCTTAACGCACATGGGAACACTGTCTTTGGGGGCAGATAGGTAAGTTACTGCAGTGAAGTGGACAGGTGGGAGGTAATAGAGAATAAGAGAAAAAGTGCAGCTGTTGATAGATCTTTAATTCTAGTACTCTTTCAATTAACCATTTGATTTAAATAACCATCGGATATTTTCTCAGAATTTTCACTCTTTTTCTGTTACTCAGAGGCTGTCTTAGAAAAAACTCACTATTTTAGAGATGTTAATTTTGACTCATGGTGTTGGGATTTCCTTTGTTCTGTTTTTAGTCTCTGGTGGTCCCCACCCTTAAAAAAATTCCCAGAAAATTTCTGATGCTTCTTTGGGTTTATTTTTTATTTTAGTTGGATTGGTGAAAGAGAAGTACAGGGTATGAGGGAGCTTAGCAACTTTTTCATTTTTTTTGTTTTGCTGGGTTTCAGTGAACACATGTAATTTTCAAGAGGAATTTATCATGAATATAATGAATGAACGTAATCTTCCATTCTGTTCATTGGTTCATAAGCTGAGTTGTACTGACATGTTAAAAACTGAATTATTTTCCCTAAATGTTGAGAAACAGAAAGTGTAATGCTTGGTACATAAGCATGGGAAATACTCATAACCATGTACTTAATGTACCTAATATGGTATATTAAGCTAAGAGGTATGTTATGTTTTATATATGGGAGTAAAAGTCATATTTTTGGTTGATGCTTACTGTTTTTGAAAACTATGCCAGTACTTGAAAGTTTCTGATTAAAAATACTTAACTCTTCTTCCCTAGAATTTGTTGTTCTTGGATAGAATCGTTCATACTGTTATTATAATGGTCGATTGCATTGACTTCTCACCGTATAATATTAAATATCAGCCCAAAGTTAAATGTAAGTATTTTCTTTACCTTTATTTGTTCACCCAGCATTTCATAAACCCGACTGCCTGAATTATTGTCAAGGCACATCCTAATGGCTTTTCCTACTTCATTTTACCTACTTCTGGTGTATAAACGTGTCTTCTGTGAGCTATGGGCTCTCCTACATGTATGATTTTTCTCTCCCTTTTTCTCACTAGCATACACACACATGCATGTGCACACATCTTTTTTATAATGCACAAAGATAAGTATTCTATTTAAAAATTGCTTAATAATACAAGTTATTTTACTTCATTTGTTATAAGGAATTATCCAGACAAGAAGCTTTGATTTTTGTTAGTGTTGTTACTTGGTAACCTGATTTGAAAATCATTGAGTTGACATCCGATTGAATAGAAAATCATGGCAGCAATTAACAGGTTATGATTGTATAGGAAATTTTAAATGATTCTAAAAATGTAGTGGGTTTTTTTTAACCATTTTAGTTAAAATTAGACAATTGAAATTGTAACAAGTCTGATTTTAAAATTACATGCCATGGTTAATTCTAGATTAATATTGTAATAAATACTGAACTACTCTAATTTTAATTTGCTAATTGATTATTTGCAATTAAATATTTCCACCAATAGTTATATGTTCATGCTATATAGGAAATAATCTTCCAGTAATGAAAATGTTGATATTTAAAAATACTACTTTTCCTGTTTAAAAATTAGAAACCTACCTAGTTTCCCTTTAATAAGCTATCATTGGTGAATTAATGTAGATTTCTAGAATATACACTATTTTTAGTTGGTGTTGGTTTTTTTGTTTTTTTGAGTTTTTACTATATAGTAATATAGAGAGTTAAGTACCTAAGGTGTGTTACTACAGTTCAGAGCATTCTGGCCTCAGTGTCACACAATAGGTTGTAGATGTGCTGGAATATTTTTTTCTCAGTTTCCTTCTTGGGCTGAGCATACCTAAATTTGATTGCCTCGGTGTGTCAGAAAAATAACACTGTTCTCTAAATATCACAAGTATAAAAAGGTTGTATAACAAATGATATCAGAATTTTGTAAACTATTGAAGTTCTTCTATCGGCCAAGCTGATGAGCCTCATGTTGACTTAATTGTACCTACTTTGTTCTGTTAAGTTTAAAATTAGCTGAATATCCAGTCTCTCCATGATCTGTAAACTGTAACCCCACAATTTCAAGTGTCTTTTTCACATCTTGGAAGAGGTATTCTTGCAGTTTAAATTTACGGAAGCTAGGGGAAATTTCTAACGTGTTAGCAGAAGTTGAGGAGGAAAGGAAATTAGAAGTAGTTGTAAGAAAATAGTTGTTATTAATGGATATGCCTCAATTTGGCTTGGGAGTGTTTTTGATAAGTTATTTTGTGATGATTTCAAATTGAGAGAAGCGTTGCAGGAACTACACCTCAGTCTTTATTCAGATACCTCAGTTAATGATAGCATTTGTCTTAATTTCAGACACACCCTCCCTTTATTTATACATTTCATTTATTCTTTTTTCCTGAACCAGTTTAAAGTATGTTATAGATAAATCTTCAACCTGGTCAGTTCCTGAGTCTTATGTTTCATGACCTCCAAAAGTAAAGGGAATAGGCAAAGTTAATTTTTGAGAGTCCCATATATTGTATTCATTTCTTTACATGGATACTACAGAATGCTGTGTTTTCTTCAGTGCATTATGTCAGTAGGCACACACTGTTCATTTGTCCTAGTCCTGGGGATGTTCAGTTAAGATTTACTGTTTAATTAAGATGGTATCTGCCAGGTTTTCTATTGTAAAGTAAATTAGCAAGCACTTAACAAAATAATGTTTTGTGGCAGGTCCTTTTAGGTTATTTAAATATCCTCTTCTCAAACTTTCACCCATGAGTTTATCATCTATTGATTCTTTGTACTTAAGACACTAGGATGATTTCCAAAGTGAGAGTTCACATTGTTCCATTTGATTACATTAAGTGCCATCCCTGTTTTGATTATTTGATAAATCATTCTACAATTATTTATTGAACACTACTAGGCATCTGTCACTTCCAAATGTTAAATGACGTCCTTATGTAAGATGTCCTTTATCCCCTATTTAATTTTTATCACTATGAATTTCTATTACTCAGTAGGTTTAAATTCACTACAATTAGTATTTAATGCTCTTGTTGGCTTCTATGACTTCATATGCTTCCATTGCTTTGAGAACTTTGGCCTAAGATATTCATCCTTATCCTGTATTTTCCATGCCACAGCCTGAAACCAGCCATATCACTAAGGAATGTGGACAATGTTTTTAGCAGAGAATAGCATTTAGAAACCAAGATCTGTTCATTGGTACCAAGGTGTCAACTACTTCTGTATCCTCTGAGTGGACAGAGGTAGAAAATAGATAAGTGTCCCCTGACTCATGGACTGTCTTCTCAGCCTTAACATCCTGGCTAATATTTTCTGTGTAGCCTTTTCCAATTTATATTCATGTCTGGGAAACTGGTAATAGGGAGGAAGGTTGACTTCCTTTTAGTAGCCACACTTGTTTTCATTTCACCACATATTTTTAATAAGCACTGAGTTAGATTTTTCTTGAAATCTGAGATCTCTTACCTTAAAAGAATGAATTCTTTCGGAAACAAGTAATTTTGGAATAGGTTGGTTTTCTTGACAAGACAAATGTGAATATTTCTGTAGGTGGGTATCTGGAGAGAGATGGAATCTAAGAAAGGTAAAAGGAAAGTTGACCAGTGCTTTTAAGATACATCACGATTTGGCTTGAGAAAAGAGATCATTTTCTGGAATTCTTATTCTAGATATGCTACTTTATCTGATTCTGTTTTTAAGGTAATGTTGTAGTGATATTTATCTGTTAGTGCTATATTATTTTACAATTTGTGGGTATCACTCAACAGATAAACACCTGTATTAGATGTATTATTTAAATGTGAGATATAAATTGTAAAGGTGGACAGTGACAAATTTCAAAGTACTTGAGTTTTTAATATATTGTGTTTTATCTTAGCACCACAGAGACCTTCAGATTGGTGCAAAAAGAAGAAGGAGCCACTAGGGAAATTGGCTTCTTTATTTAAACTCATTATGAGAGTGATCAATTCTTTCCACACACTGAGCTTCAAGGAAATACATTCTGATACTCTCCTTCCGATGGGCAACTCAATCATCAGCATTCTTTCCAATGTGCTTGGATGTATTTCTTTGCCTTCTATGATCCGAAAAATATTTGCAGATTTAACAAGACCCCTGGCATTATTTTATGAAAATTCAAAGTAAGAATTTGGGGCTTAAAATATTGAATTAAGTATATGTAATTTAAGTAGCAGACTTGCTTTCCTATCAGCTTCATCCTATTGCTTTCCTATCAGGTAATCTTTATATTTAATGGAGAGGGTAATATGTATTAAACTATGCTTTTGTTAAAAAAAAGGTAGTTGAAATAATACATATAGATGAGGTAGAAATTGGAAATCCTTTTCTATTGAATGCCAATCGAACCTTCTCAGTTTAGTATATACCTTTTCTGGATTTGTTAAAACAAACAAGCGCACCTATTATTCATTATGAGAGTGATCAATTCTTTCCACACACTGAGCTTCAAGGAAATACATTCTGATACTCTCCTTCCGATGGGCAACTCAATCATCAGCATTCTTTCCAATGTGCTTGGATGTATTTCTTTGCCTTCTATGATCCGAAAAATATTTGCAGATTTAACAAGACCCCTGGCATTATTTTATGAAAATTCAAAGTAAGAATTTGGGGCTTAAAATATTGAATTAAGTATATGTAATTTAAGTAGCAGACTTGCTTTCCTATCAGCTTCATCCTATTGCTTTCCTATCAGGTAATCTTTATATTTAATGGAGAGGGTAATATGTATTAAACTATGCTTTTGTTAAAAAAAGGTAGTTGAAATAATACATATAGATGAGGTAGAAATTGGAAATCCTTTTCTATTGAATGCCAATCGAACCTTCTCAGTTTAGTATATACCTTTTCTGGATTTGTTAAAACAAACAAGCGCACCTATTAAATGTAAGATGTATATGAAAACATAGTTGGCATGCTACTTTGCAGTTAATCTAATTATATGGTATGCACCTTGTGCTGTACACCTAAGAATCTTATCTTTAATGTCTGCAAAGGTTTTCTTCTTGGTGTACATGTTCTAGTTTTTTTCCTTTTCAACGAACGGTACTGCAATTGAACATAATTTGTACATACACTCTCCACATTTGCCATTGTTTTCTCTAAGTCCTAGAAGTGAGACTGTTAGTAATGGATATGAAAATATAAAATTCCTAAATTACCTCCCAAAGGTTTGTTTTAATTTACCTTTATATTTGAATCAAAACAAGCAGTGCTTAATAAAAAAACCTTGAAAAATCCCAAGCATTATACTTGAAAAGCATTTTGAAAGAATTTATTAGTGTTCTGATGACATGTGTGACTTAATCATAATAAAGTCAATGTTTTATAATTTCATAAAAACTAATTTTATTGAATTATTTTATATAAATATTGATCGAATTTTATATTCACAGAGAAAGCTTTAGAAACATTTTATAAAGTACAAAATAGAACCCCTTAGTCATTAACTCTTTGCAAATCTTTTTTAGTCTTTAAGGTTCATCAAAAATAATTCCTGCTTTTTAAAAGAAAGGTATAGAAATAAGTAACTAGCATTAATATTTTGGAATACCTTTTTACATCACTACATGTCTCATTTTTATGGCTGCATGATATGTTTTTAGGTGTAACTTTCTGAAATATAAATGATACTGTGTTTTTCTTCCCAGGCTTGATGAAGTTCCTAAAGTGTATAGTTGTATGAACAACAAGGTAAAAAGAAACAACTGTCCATAAAACAAACTTTCGTGATAAAAAAATGTTAGGGTTCAGATAATTGTCTTCCTTAAATGTAATTGTTTCTAAAAGGGTTATTATTATACTTAGGTTTTAATGGCTGTTTAATAACAACATGGACACAAAGGATACTTACTAAAGAAGGATTTAATAATGTTACTTTAAATTCATATAACTCATCAATTCCTATCTCATCCCTTTATAAATGAGGGTAACTGCCTCCAGTGTTTTGTGGGTAAAACTTATGTAGGAAACTGTTAATCTCTATTGTAATTTATGTGAAAACATAATTTTTTCTGTTAGTGGAAAATGAGCTTGCAATCAAGTTGTAGTTACCAATAATTAAACTAATTCACCTGGAAAGTATTGGATGGGAGCTTTTTAAAAATCGTTTGAAGTTTAAGAATTGAAATAGTAAATTGTTCCATGTGTTTAATTAGTATGCTTTGTGCTTTTTTTTCCTTTTTTAAAGTAACATTTCCAAATGTTAAGCCTAATAAAATTTTCCTTTTTCCTAGTTAGAAAAGCTACTAGGAGAAATTATTGCTTGTCTACACTTCAGCTACACTGGAACTTATGACAGTGAACTTCTGGAACAGATCTCCCCATTATTATGCATAATATTTTCGCACAAGAATAAACAGATTCGGAAACAGAGCAGTCAGTTCTGGAATGCCACATTTGCTAAAGTGACGATGTTGATTTATCCTGAAGAGTTAAAGTACGCTACCAACAAAATTATTTTACACGGTTACTGTGTTGCGATCATGTAAATTGATACTTTTGTTTTAACATAAATTTTTCTTCTAAGAAATCACTGCAGAAGATTCCTTAGTTGAAGTATTGTTTGGAGTACATGGTAGTTATTAAATATCATTTGACTTTTTCCTTTGGGCCTTTTAGTAACCTCAGTTTTAGGAACAGAAAAATCAATTAAAAATTATATTTCATAAAAGAAATGTAAAGGGCAGAAAATTGGTGGTTATTAAATCTAGGTGATGGGCACTTAATGTAATAGTCTAATAGTCTGTCATTGAAAATTTCCATGATAAAAATTGGGGAAATTTGAAGTTTCTCAGGAACAAAAGTTGGAAACTGAAGTTTAACAGAAAGTTCAGATATTGTCTGTAAGTTCTAGTTTGTGTATGTAGAGTAAGAAACAGTCTTTAGGCTGAATATATTTTGTTATCTTAAAATTATAATTGAAGTGTTCCTGTTTAACATATCAGTATTCACCCATACTACTTGATTCAAGGTATATATTTTTATGTACTTTTTAAAAGACCAGTACTAAGAAAAGCCAAACAAAAATTTCTTCTTCTGTTGCCTGGTTTGGAAAATGTTGAGATTGTAGAGGAGTCCAGCGGACCATACTCGGATGCCGTAAGTTTGTTTCTTTTGCTTATGAACGGTCGAGCAGTTTCATTTATTGGGTTTTGATCTTTAAAGGACAAAACAATTTTTAAAAGAGTAACTTAAATAGAGTATTTTGACATAATGAGCGAGTAAAACCCATGGAAGGGTTCCATTATAAAGGATTTTTCCATATAGTCAGCTGCCTTAAGGTACTTAAAAAAAAAGAAGTATAATTGACATAAAATCCTGTTAGTTTCAAGTGTATTTCATAGTGATTTGATATTTTTATACATTATGGAGTGATCTCCACTTTAAGCCTAGTTCCCACCTGTCACCTGTTATTGAAATATTATTAACTATGTTCATGGTGCTGTACGTTACATCCTGTGATTAATGTATTTTATGTCTGGAAGTTTGTACTTTTAATCCCCTTAGCCTATTTTACCTGTCCCCTAACTCCTCCCCACTCTGGTAACTAACGGTTTATTGCCTGTTTCTGAGTCTATTTCTGTATTGTTTGTTTTTTAGATTCCACATATTAAGTGAAATCACAACGATAATTGTCTTTCTCTGACTTAACTTCACTTAGCATTGTGACCATCTGTGTTAACATAAATGGCGGATTTTCTTTATAAATGCTGAATATTTTCTTTATCCATTCATCTGTTGATAGACATTTAGGTGGTTTCCATATATCAGAGTGCAGATACCTCTTTAAGATTTTGATTTCTTCCCTCATTTGATAGATTGTATTTGTTTTATCAGTGTTTGCCTTCACTGTGCAAAATATTTCAAGTTTGATTTAGTCCCATTTACTTATTCTAGTTTTTATTGGCCTTTGACTTGAAACACTTTCATTATTTAAGGACAGTGAATCTCAGTGTAGATCCTCATGTAAAAATATGTGATTCTTGTTCATTAATGATCATTTTTGACCTAAGGCACTTCATATGTATTGTTCTGCAAAGGTTGTAGTTATTAAAATACATGGTTAAATGTTGCTTGAGATAAACTAGGAATAATAGTTACTAATCCTTGTCTAAGTTAAAGCTACCCTTCATTTCCTCATTTCTTTCCATAGAATCTCTCATTCCTTCTGTCAGAAAAACACCCTATAACGATTGCTTTGTTATCCCATAATCCATTTGGATGGGCCAGAGTTACTTCAGCTAATAATACTTGATGACTGTCCGAGGACTGAGGAGTAAAGTCCTGGGCACTGTATACCCATGAGGGAACTTCCTTAGGCAAGGTTTTTCTACAACAGAAAATGGAATCTAGCTGTTTTTTGTTAGAACTTGTAAGAGAAAAAGTGTAACAGCTAGCTAAGTACTTTAATTTCTGATTTTTGGCTAAAATTAACATCATAAAATTGTCTATACTTGTTGAGACTCCAGTGTAATTTGGCCTGGAAAAGCCATATATTCTGTTGGGAGGAAAGTGACAGTATTTTCAGTCATTCATGATTTATTGTTTGGTGTTGAAAGTTTATGTCTGATTTTTCTTTTGGAACTGTTTCCATTAGTAGGAGGTATATTTGAGTCCAGTAATTTGATTCACTTTCAGTATTTATGTGGTATATACTATTTTTAGAATTCATAAAATTAAATGGTACAAAACAGCTACTGTGTGAGTTGGAGACACCAAACCTATTTGTTGTTTTTGAATTAAACAATGCCTTTTCTTTTCTTGGACATGCTTTTAATGGCTTGAATAATCAAAAGAAATTTGAAATGTGAATATTCATTGTACTGGAATTCTCAAACTGAAGAAGAGAAATAAAATATAACAGTTGCACTTAATGAAATTGTTTTATTTTTAACAAAGCAGACAGAAAATACACAATTAAATATGAAGATTAGTGGGATGGAAAGAAAATCAAGTGGGAAAAGAGACTCTTTATTGGCACAAGCAAAGGATGCAAAAGAAAGTATGAAATCACCAGCCAAAGTATGTTTTTCCAAAGATTTAATAGAATTTTTAAAATTAAAGTATATGGTAGCTTGAGAACACAACTTCTGATTGGAAGAAAAAGCTGTTAACAGGCTTAATAAAAGATGGGATTATAGGGGAATGATAGAGTTTGTCTAGAAAGACTGTTAGGATAGGATGGAAATCTGGAAGCTCTGGGAGATGATTCCTTCTTAGTAAAGTTAATCTGATAATATGCAGCATCCACTAAGTAGAATTACTCCAAGCAGCAGTCTCCTTGAGATGGAATGAAACTAAGTATGAATAACTATAACATAGGTAGCATTAAGAGAATATTGTAGAATTTCTGTTACTGAAAAGAAAGAGAATGCCTAGGTAAGACATGTATTTTAACCTCAAATCTAAAACTAAATACTTTTTTTTTAAGAGTAACTCTGACATAGTCTTGTAGTAACTAAAATAGAATGAAAACAATCACTGAAAATCATAAAAGTAACAGTTTAGTACCAGTGTCATTGGTATGTAGGGCCTATTATTTTGGCAACTTTTACTTGAGAGCTGCCGATAAACTCCCCTGCTAAACGATTTTGTTTCTGTCAGCCTGAATAACTATATGCCCATGTTTTGTTGGTAAGCACTCACTTGCCTAACACATTAAAGAGGTATCTTAATTCTTCTGAGTATTTTTTAGAAGCAGAATGGAAGTGGTTGGACATTGTATTGTACTAAGTATTAACCAGGAATATCATTGAGTTTGAACTTCAGACTTCCTAGTCATTAGTTGAAAAACATTATCAGCATTCCAAGAGAGATTGAAGTATTGGAAAATAATTTGGTAACTCAAATGTACATTTACTTTTTAAAAATTTCAGCTGAAACTAGAATCTTCATCTTCCAAAACAAAAAGTGAAATGCTTTTGGAAGAAGAAAAGTCTGCTGACTTCGTGTTTATACCCCCAGAAGGAAAAGAAGCAAAGGAAAGAATACTAACTGAACATCAGAAAGAAGTACTCAAAACAAAGAGGTTTGTAGTCCTTTATCTTGAACTGGGTATTTTGTATTCACACACACAGCTCAGGCAGCAAATTGTAACTTATGTCTAGAACTAAATCTGAGTAAGTATACTGCTCTATAGTATGCAATATTTTAATGTCAAAAACATATACTGCATTTAACTACATTTCATAATTAATATAAGGTTCTACCTAGTAATGTACCCAATATTTCTGAATCCCTGAATTCAGAACAAAATTCATTTACTTGAGGTAGTGTAGGAAGGGAAGATGATTTCATGGAAAATCTGGAAAATAAGCATCTTACCTTTGATTTTTATATTGTTCTTAAAGGATAACTGGATGTGGAATCATAAGACTTATTTCTAATTGTAGGAATATTAGATTTTGAAGTTATTTACATAAAATCTTTTCCAGGTGTGATATTCCTGCCATGTATAATAATCTGGATGTTTCACAAGATACTTTATTTTCTCAGTATAGTCAGGAAGAATCTATGTAAGTATTGAAGCTGTTGAAGTAACTTGTTTTCTGATTTTTAACAAAACCAGTACTCTAATTTATACACTTACTTATTTCAGGGAAATTCCTACTTTAACTAAAAAATCAAAGGAAGATTCTGAGGTGATACTTCAGGAGGTACGTTTATATTTCATACTTTGGGATTTTAATCAGCCTTCTGTTATGGAGTCTAATTTTAGGATTTGCTATATAATTTCATTACTCTTAATGGAAGACTTCAGAATTGTAGTCAGTGTGTGTATGTGTGTTTAAATATATTTGGCTTTATTGAATATTTATAATTAGAAACAACTATGGGCATCTATCTCTACATTTGGTATACTTGTAAAATAGTGAAAAGTCAGTGGTTGCCTTTTAAATTACTAAAAATTTACACTAAAATTTCCCCAGAAAATCAGGTCTGTTTGCTGGTTAATCTATCTCTATCTATATATACATTTCTGTGCAGGAGGAGCAAATGCAGAGTGATGTTGTCATTCATCAAGATGTCACAGAAAACTGTGGTACAGATGAACAAGTTGAAAAGACTTCCCTTTCAAATAATGAGTGTGGTTCTGTTGAGGAAACCAGTCCAGAAGTACTGAGCAGTAATGATGCCAGAAAAAAAGCAATAATTTCCTCAAAGAAAACAACTGAACGTGCATGTAGTTTAGAAAACACTGTTGTTGTCAGCAGTAGCTCAGTTTCTAATACCATCATCTCTGGAACTCCCTCACAGCCTACAAGTCGAAGGCAGACCTTTATTACTTTGGAGAAGTTTGATGGTTCAGAAAATAGACCTTTTAGTCCCTCCCCCTTGAATAATATGTCAACTGCTACAGTGAGAAATAATCAGGAAGTAGTGAGTAAAACCAATGTTCCACCAAAAGCAAAGAAGAGAGAAGTGGCTCTTCCAAAATCAGGCTCTGAAAAAGGAGTAGTACATGGAATTAAGAGATCAGGCCGAAGGTCAAATAAAACTGAGCAAACAGGGAATAAAAGGTCTAAGCCCTTAATCAGATCTGATCAGGAAAAAAATACTCAGGAATCTATTGATGGCATTGTAGCCTTAGAAAGCAACCCACCCAGTTTGCTTAATGAGACAGAATGTGTGTTAGATAGTCAGGATCATCTCTCTGAATGCACAGTGGAAAATGAGAATACAGTGCTTCAGCCACCAATAGAAAATACTCTAACTAACAATACTGTAGAAGAGAAAACCATAGGAATTAATTTGGAATCCAAAGAAAATACACCCCCAGCCATAATACCTGCAGATCAAGTGGTTAATGAGGATTGTCATATTCAGATAACTCCCAATCAGAAAACACTTCGACGATCTTTAAGGCGACGTTCAGAAACTGCAGAACCTTCTGCTGATAACCAAGATAAAGAAAATAATCAGCAAAAAAAGGAAAGACGCAAGGAAGAAGAAAAGACTCTTCAGAAGAGTCCATTGCATGTAAAAGATGATGTGTTACCTAGCCAGAAACCGATTTTTGAACAAACTGTAGAGAACAATTTAATTGAGAAAGGAAATGATGTACATGAAAAGTCTTCCGGGGAAACCAGTGCTAATTCTGAAATTGATGAAAATATAAGAAAGCCAGACCTTGAGAATACTAAATCTGAGGGCAGTGGTGCCCAGGACATTGCAGATAAGTCTTCTGATAAACCAGTAAGGGGACGGACACGGTATCAAACAAGAAGAGCATCCCAGGGTTTACTTTCTAGCATTGAAAACTCAGAATCTGATAGTTCTGAGGCAAAAGAAGAAGGTTGTAGAAAGAAGAGATCTGGGAAATGGAAAAACAAAAGTAGTGACAGTATTGATACCAAAGAGCAAGAAGAGAAAACACTGAAACAGGAATGTGTAAAAGTTGAAAGCCAGACAGGTGATTGTAAAGCAAATTCTGAAGTAGACACAGATGTAAGATTTCAGGGTCTTGAAGCAAAAGATGAGAGTAATACTGGATCACTTCAGGATTCTATAGTATCTTCAGATTCCTTGCAAGTTTCTGGTAATGTGTCAAATACTTACGAGGGAAAAAGTAAAACTAACAAAAGTGCAGAACATTCCTTTTCAAGTCCACCCACACCAGAATCAAATCTAAGGACTAGAAATGCCTCTAAGAGATTACATAAGCGAGATTCTATAGAAAGTAACAGTATGGGAGAATCCTCAAAAATAGGAACATCAGACATATCTTTGCTTTCTGAAAAAACTCACCAAACACTTGAATGCCAACACAAGAGAAGTAAGAGGGTGAGGAGATCTAAAGGTTGTGATTGCTGTGGAGAAAAATCACGTCAGGAAAAGTCACTCATTGCATTAAGGAACACAGAAAACGATGATGTAAAGGTGAGTGAAACAAAAAAGACAGATTTGCACACACCTAGAACTATGTCAGAAACTTCTAAAGCTCATCAGTATTCTGAGGTAAGAGTTTTAGATGAACTTCATGGTGTGAACTTTAATTTGGGCCTCAGAGAGGAGAATGATACTATAAATGATTCATTCATTATATCTGAAACTGAGTTCAAAGAAAATACTCTTCAAGAATCTTTCCCTTCTGAAATACAAGATTTTAAAGATGAAGTTTGTGATGTGAATTCTAAGGAAACAGTATCACTTGAAAGCCATGAAGTATCCAATAAAAATTGCAAAATTGTTGGCCCATGTTTAGGTGATTCCAAAGATACTCCACTGGAATGTCCTATTTTGGAGACAAAAGAAGTAAAACCAGAAGCTATCCTGAAAAAGGAACTAAGTAACATAGAGACAATTGTTGATGATGAAGCAAATGCATGTAAAGTAAAAGTCAATCTGGAAGAAGTGGAAGCTATGGAATTCAGTGTAGAAAGTGATAAATCTGAAGCTAGTTTCTCTGAACAAAAGAGTACCAAAACTGGTACTCCTGAAGAAGAGGTAACAGAGGGAAACGCTGAAAAAAGTGATGAATCTGAAGTGGATGCAGTTGAAGAACTGAATGCTGAAGAGGCAGCAGATGAAAGATCTAATTCAGGTATTGGTTATTCTAATAGTACCACACCTATAAAAGTGAGTGCTCAGACAGAGGTTCCTGAACACATGGCCACTGGCGGCCTAGATGGAAGTGGTGAATCTGATCCAGGTTCATCTGAAGAAATGAATGCTGAAATGCGCAGTTATGAAGGATCAGTGATAGATGAGGTGAATGCTGAAGCCAACCATGTCAGTGCAACTGAGGATGGGAGCTTGACCAAAGCCTGTGAGCCTGTAGAAGCCCAAACAAAGAGATTGAATGTAGAAATCAGCAGCTTTGTTCCTGACGTGCTTGAGATGAGCACGGAAGAAGGTAAAGTTGATGTTAGTAAAATTGAAACAAATAGTGAACTTAATAAATTTGAAGGAACAAAATTAGATGACAGTCATATGGTAGTGGGAAATGATGAAGTTTTACAGGAAGTTCACCATACTTCAGAGAAAGTGGAGGAAACGTCACAGTGTCCGACATCTGGAACAGCTATCTCTGAACTGATAGCAGATGACAGTAACGGATCTCCTCAAAAATTAAGGGAACTTGACCCTTTACTTATGTCAACAAATGAGAGTCCTAGTAGCATGCAGACACGTTGTGTCTGGTCTCCTTTGGCGTCTCCATCCACCAGCATTCTAAAGAGAGGACTAAAAAGACCCCAGGAAGATGAGATACCATCACCTGTTAACAAGGTAGGGAAACTGAGGCTGAATGTTAATGAGACCTTATTTAACTTGAATATTTTGGCCATACAGTGACTCCTGTAAATGACAGAATATTGAACTTAATGACTACTTGTTTTGACTGTTTACCATGGCAGCTAGGGAAAAGGGCGAGTAGAAGGAAAGGTGTTGAGAAGAGACTGAAGCTTTTCAGGTATTCCTTAATTCCAGCACATGTAAGGTTTTTGCACAGTCTTGCACTTTGTTTTTAAGCCTTTGTGAAATGTATGAGAATCACATGGTAATTTTTTTCTGCTCCTCTTAACATAAACCATAATATATTTGGAACAAATTTAGAGACTAATAAAGCAGCTGTAGTTAGCACTTATTGTGTACTAGAACATTATGCTGTTTCACATTTAAGTACTTTATATAATACAAACTCTTACTTTTGGATCATATCTAATTAAAAAGGAAAAAAATATCTTAGGCACTGCTTTCATCAGTTTTCTGGATTTGATTTCAATTATAATTACTTTGTTCATATCCCCATCTTCTTCACTAAACTAATAAACATGGGTTATCTATGTATGTGCTTTAGCTCCTAGCCCTGCAACTTGCACTTGGTTTGTTGTATGAATAAATCAATATAAAGGACATGTGCTTACACAGATAGCTCATCTCGTCCTCTGCTTAGCAAAGGAGATGTTCTTGGAAAGGTATGATGTAGGCATTCCATAAGTTTGAAGTTGCAGCTGCCATTTACTGTAGAATGCATAAATAGAGATAAAATGATACCACTCAGTTTTGCCTTCAGGCACATTGTGAAGACTTCCCCAAGATGCACTGAAAATGAGAATTCAGAGATAAGTTCTTGAGAAGACTTAACACATCTTGAGTTTCTTGGTATTTTGCTTTTGTTATGAGGCTTTAAAAAAAAAACTTTAATTAGCATCTAATGTAGTATTTTAATTGAGTATCTAATTAAGCCATAGAAGTCCTTGAAAAGCTTTTGAAGATAGAATGTGTTGTGACTAATGTCTTCATTGCACTATATATATAAGATTTAACAAGTCATTTTTTGTTTAATAGTAGTAAGTGTTCAATTTTTATTTAGGCAACTTAGTTTCCTATATAGCAGGTATGTACAGAATCTGCCCTCTCTTGGAAATCAAGACTAGGAGACATTTACATACATAATTAATGGTGTAAGTGTGCCGTTGCATATTTGTGAAAATTAGCCAGTGAACATACTTTAGGAGTTTAGAAGAGGCTAAAATGAATTCAGGCTTGATCTAAGCAAGAGAATATATGATAGATACGTAATGAGAATTTACAGCATTCCTTCTTAAATTTTGTAAAATAAAAACACAATCTGTGCTTTCAGGTTCGCCGTGTCTCCTTTGCAGATCCAATATACCAAGCCGGCTTGGCAGATGACATCGATAGGCGGTGCTCTGTTGTTAGGTCCCATTCTTCAAGTATTTCTCCTATAGTAAAAAGTGTTAAAACTTCACCTACTGCACAATCTAAGGTAAGTTGTAGGCATTAAAATACATGTGTATGTATGCAGACACAGAATTGCATTGGGTAACTTGCCTTAAAATCTATTTAAGAAACAAAATTTTGGTTAGGGTGTTCTGTTCTTTTCTCTGCTTTCATAGTAGGCAGACAGTAAGAGAATAGGTGGTAAGAGGCAATGATGATCTAGCAGGTAATTGATTGGGTAGTCATTTATTACATTTTACATTTTCTGACAATTTTAAGAGTTTACTGAAGTCTTAAGTTTTGAAATAAAGTTGTGTAATTATAGTTATCTAGGGTTCTGAGTGAGTTTTTTTCTCCTTTTTTCTATCTAGCATAATACCACTTCAACCAAAGGATTTCTGTCCCCAGGATCACGTAGCCCTAAATTTAAGACTTCAAAGAAGTGTTTAGTAAGAAGTGCTTTTTTTCCATGCAATTTTGTATTTTCATGTTCAACAGAGACCTCTACTTAATGGCTTTTGACATTTATTCTAAGATTACAGAAATGGCTAAAGAATCCATGCCATGCCCAACAGAAAGTGTTTACCCAGCTTTGGTGAACTGTGTGGCACCAGTTGACATCATTTTACCTCAGATTACATCAAACATGTGGTGAGTGGTGGCTTGGTTTTCTGGCTTATGCTAAAAGGTGGCATTTGTTTAAGAGGAATATTTAGATGGTCAAGATTCACTGTTAGAATTGATTTACATGCATATTTGCACACATTTTACTTTAGAAATAAAAATTCAGCTGGGAGGATGGACCAGATAGGGCAATAAGGAAGGAAGCATACATCCTAATATAGTGGTGTCTAAGAGAATTATGTGCTGAGTACTTACCAGTTGTTGTACTGAACTCTTTGTACACATTATCTTATTTACTGCTAATTTATAGCCTATAAAGAGTATGATTCTTGCTTCCACTTTATAAGATGAAGTTTACAAAAGTTAATCCACCAAAGTCACACAGCTAGTAACTCATCATGTAAATGAAGCATGAGGCACACATTCAACTTGATCTGTTTCCAATGCTATCGCTTAAGCTAGGCATACACATCCCATTCAGATTCTGTTTTAAATTATACATACATATGCCTGTTATCAAAGTGGACTAGATAGCAGGCCTATATAAATTCAGTTATGATTGGGCTTAAATTAGGAAATTAACTGGATAGACCCTCACCAATAGAACAAATGTAAAACTATATAATGATATTTTTCCTTTTCTCTCATCATCTGTTCAGGGCAAGAGGACTGGGACAACTCATTAGAGCCAAGAATATAAAAACAATTGGTGATTTGAGTACTCTTACAGCCTCTGAAATAAAAACACTTCCCATCCGTTCTCCAAAAGTATCCAATGTAAAAAGGGCTCTCAGAATATATCATGAGCAGCAGGTAAAAACTCAGATGTTGGCTATAAAATCATGATATGATCTAGCAGTACAATTACAGAAGTTTGTATGAAAGCCCCTTTTATGTCACCTTTCTTCCCTTTCCTCACATACAACAGTGACTTAAAAGATCATTTTGTAATTTCATAATTTACTGAATTACTTTGTACTGATTGTATGTAATGCATACTTTGAATTCTGCTCCTACATACTTACCTTCTCTTTTTCATTACATCTCACAACGAATTGGTGATTGTTTCCATGGCTACTATTCCTAAAACATTTGTTCAAATAAACATTTAGAAAAATCTTGGGAATTTGTAGTTAACAATATTATATCCAACACAATCGAAACTGACTTTCTTATTTGTTCTTCCTGTCAACTTTTTGTACATAAACATTTTGCGTCATTGACATTTTTCAAGATTTCTGTTGAAAGCCAAGATTCTTTCCACCTAATGTACAGATTCTTCTGAAACCTATTAAGAAACCCTTTATATGTCCATTGACATTTTGCAAAATGGTGAATGAAAAAATGGGGTATGTTAAGGATGGAAGCCGTGCTCTATTTTGGCATTTCTGAGATTGTAGTTTGCTTACTGCTGAAGACTTCTACTATAATCTTGAAAATTCTTGATTTATTATGTATTTATGATCTTTAAAAACATTTGATAACCAGTTAAAAAAAGACCTCATGACCCCAGAAAGAGACCCTGTAACCCAAAACCATATTGGTAATTTTAAATGTCATAGATCAAGAATTTAGTTTCTGAAGTGTTTTCAGAATACCTCATGGCCTGTGGGCCCTGGGAATTGTCTCTGAAAATTACACAAAATCTACTTTTAATAAGATAAATTTACATATCATAAAATTCATCCACCCAAAGCACACAAATGGTTTTTAGTATATTTAATATATTAAGTGGATTTTAGTATATTTATTTTGTAAATATACTAAATGAAAAGTCAGTGTATTTATATTATTAATATAGTATTTGTATATAACAAAGTTATATAGACATCACCAGAATCTACTTTTAGAACATTTTTCATGATCCCAGAAAGAAACCCTGTATGCATTAGCAATCACTCCTTTTTTCTACCCCCCACCCCCAGGCAACCACTCATCTTTCTCTGTGTAGATTTGCCTATCTTGGGCATTTGATAGAAGTCAGGTCATAAAACATGTGGTTGCTGAGCATGTTTTTCAAGTTTCACATATATCAGTACGTCTTCCTCTCTTGTGGCTAAATACTGCTATACAGATACACATTTAGATTAGCTATTCAGTTGGTGAGCATTTGGGTTCTGCCTGTTACTATTATGAACCATACATACTATTATGTACATTTATGCACAAGTTTATGTGGACATATGTTTTTATTACTCTTGTAATTATATGTGGGAGTCGAATTTCCGGGATCTTACGGTAATGTGGATGTTCCAAAATTAGTATTTTCTCAATCAGTAATCAGTAGCCCCAGGAACACCTGTGGAAATTGTTATTTTTTAGAGAAGTCCATATATTAGCTCAGGAATCTTGTTTTCTTTCCCCATGTTCCTGAACTTGGGAAACCATGTAATTTTTCTTGGCTACCATGGCCATATTTCTTGAGGAGACCATTAGGAAATAACACTTCCATCTCTCCAAGAAAAAAAAAAGTTTGTGATGGTTTTTTGTGTTATCAGTAGAACATAGTTTCTTATTTTCTTAGCAATATTAGCCCAGGTAATAACATTGTGATAGGCTGTGGCATGCATTATGTCAGATTCTTTTTCAGCAGTGATGGTGTTAGTCCTATTAAAAATAACCTGGAATTTGTTGGTTTGTTTCTGTTTTTACTGGCCTGAATTTATTATCAAGGTAAAGTCTCGTGGACTAGAAGAGATTCCAGTTTTTGATATTTCAGAAAAAACAGTAAATGGAATAGAAAATAAATCTTTCCCTTCTGATGATGAAAGACTTGCGTCAGGTATGTTTTGACAAAGTGGAGCAATTTTATTTCTAAGATTCACTGACTTGCTTGAAGCAATATTTTGGTATGTTTTTAGCTTTAATTTGACCATACCCTGTTAATTTATTGACTTTTTTTGTGTGCTAGTTGCTAAGTGCATGAAAAAATAGCTGATTTGCCTTCCAAGTATGTCTCGGTGCTTTTTCTAATTGTCAGCTTTTACACCATCAGGGTCTCAAATAAGGATGTATAAACTAAACATTGTGTTCCAGTTATGGTGTTTATAAAAATGAAATAGTCTGGCTATTTCCTTAATGTACAGAATGAATTTGATAGACGTTTTTTGTTGCCAGTTCACTTGAGAAGACGGGATATCTCAGTCTGAACTTTCAGTTTGAAATGTAGGCATTTGTTAACTTAAAAGGAGATACATACAATTTAGTTTTATATGGAATGGATTTAATTGTGCCTTTTTTCCCTCCTTTCAGATTTAATTGATCCTGTTGCTTTAGAAACTCCGTTATCTAAAAATCTTGTGGCACAGATTAGTGCACTTGCTCTACAGCTGGATTCAGAAGATCTCCATACCTATTCAGGAAGCCAGCTATTTGAAATGCATGAGAAACTTGGGAGCATGGCAAACTCTATAATAAAAAATCTGCAGTCACGTTGGAGGTCACCAGCCCAGGAAAATCTGGTTTAGTATTTCAAAAGAAAATTCAAGTGTTTTTTTTTTCTACATCACTGGATTTGTTGGTTATAAAGTAAGTTTTGAAATATAGCACAATTTCAGACTGAATGCTTGCAAAATTGATAACATTTCACACCCTGAAAAGCAGTGGACTTATTATGTAAGTTCAGTTTTATAAGTTCATTATGTAAGATTATTTTTGTGTATGCAGTACATTTTCTTGGCCACTATGCATAGTTTTTCCAGAAATTCACATGAAAATTTTTTATTTCAGTATTTTGCTGAACTGATAAAGGTGTTTATACTTGATTTTTATCCATTTAATTTATGTTTATTGTGCTTGAGGCTTAAACTTGTTCTTGGTAAAACACCTCAGGTGAGATGCAGAAAGAACTGGAATATTTTTTTGAAATTGTCAACTTTGGACAGCTTTCAAGAAAAATACAATAAGTTTCAACTTCTGGGGCTAAAATATTAAAGAATTTACTAAGATTTCATTCGTTTGCGTTAGCAAATACTTGTGCAGCAGCATTTACCTGTGAAAATTCACTCTTACGGGACATAGTATTCATTTAAAAGTGCACGACTATTTGTACATTATGTATAGATTATATTGTTTTTAATTTATGAATTTCAGCCTTGGTTAATTGAATGAATTTCTCTGCAGCTTCTTGTGAATACCTTTGTTTTGTTTAATAGATAAACACATTTTGTATATATTAAGTACTGAGGTATCAGTATGGACAGAAGTGCTTTGTGGGCTTGATGCAGATGTTTGTAGGATTCTGAATCTACAAATAAACCAACAAATAGTTTTGTACTTAGTTACTAGTCTTAGTTAAAACATGAGTTTATTTTCTAAAGTAACCAGAATGGGTTAAGTTGTAGAGATAAAAAAGTGTTAACATAACAACTTGGCTGTTCATACCCATACCTTTTTTCTCCTTTTGGTTTGGAAGAGGGTGTCAGCCGCTAGGAAGCTTGCCTCGTTGACATTTCTTTTTAATGAGGAGTTGAAGTATTTTCGTTATAACTTGGACTTAAGAAATGTAGAGTTTTTCTCTTCTATTCACCTACACCTAAAGCAAACTTGGGAGAAATTTGCAACTGTTCTTTTGAAAAATGTTGTTTTGCCTAGGTTAAAAAAATAGGGTGTATATAATTAAAACATTTATAAATACCACAACTAGTATTAGTGCCTAACTTCCCATATGTTTCGTCTTTCTACTGCGAGAATATCTCATTCGTTCTGTGAGTAGAATGAGAGTGATCTCAGTTTCACACTTTATTCGGAACTAACCCTTTACTTGAAAAGGCACGCATTTTTCCACAAGCTGTAGAAAGTTTAACCTTTGTGTCTAGTCAGCTCCTGTTACATTCAGAAGGTAACTGCAAGCCAGCCACAATAAAAATTGGTGTCTTTTTAATAATCGTAAATGCATCATTACTACAAATATATTGGAGTTATGTTTGGTATTTGTATACTGAGGTGGGTTTTAAATTCTGGGACCATTGAACTAAGGATTGTACCTTGAAGAAATAACTAATGAAAAATAGTTTTTTTAGAAAACAATTACTATTGTGGTTTACACTGTCATTAATTTCCCAAATTTCATTTGACAGAGACTCAAGTTTTTTAGTGAACAGTTGTTAGAAGGTGTGTGCATGCGTTTGGAGGAGTCAAAATTGGCCCATTTCATGACTACATATCTTTAATGTTTGTGTGAACTAAACTTATTGCTGGTGGAATGAATGAAGTTCTTGGGAAGTTGAACAGTATAGCAGAGAATGTGACCAAACCAAAATGATTCCATTTATTTAAATGACTGGATTTGATATATAAGCACAGGTATTAGATCAAAAACATAGTGATTCAACAAGGATGTATTTTAAAATAGTTGAAGGCTAAAACAGTTTGCTCTGTCTTCACTGTTGATATACACATATACTTGAGGCACCTTATTTTCATTATTCTTAAAGATTTTCTGCAGAATAGCAAGAAGCATTAATGTTTCTTGATGAGCTATCTCCATTGTGTTTCACTATTACAGTGAAGTCAGTTTTTTCAAATAGTTTCTAATGGTTAATAAAGCAAATGATAAATATTAATAAGAGCACTCAGATGTGATTGATTTTATGCATTTAACGTAGTATAATTTTTCATGTTCCAAATGGATTTCATAGTGGACTTAAATTTTCACTGTTTCAGTGAGTCCATTACAGATGCTCTAATACTTGAACAAGTTGGAAGCACTGTTAAACGATGTGGAGCTTTTGCTCTAATTTTATACAGTATAGAATGAGTCAGGTTCAGTAATAATGCTGTTGGACAATACAGTCAGAAGTAAGATTTAAATCTGAACATTAAAAGCATGGTAGTTCTTGACAGTGCCCATGGATTCTGTTTTTCTGTACAGCTTGTAAGTAAAGGATTTTCTTACATGTTTAAGAGTCATAAAAATGTCAGGGAATTTGTATTGTATCTCACCTAAAACAACTGGCAGGTCAAGAAGCAAAATTGGGAGAAAATGGGAGAGGTATATATAAAATACACAAGTAGAATATCTTTATAAAAAATATTTTAAGTGCTGCTTTAAAAGCTTAGTTGGAATTTATTTTAAACAGAAAATAGGAGCTAAAAAGGATCACTATCATTTCTTGCTTAATTGCCATTCCTTCCAATTTTGACATTACAATCCAGAAAGAAAGGCCTAGTTTCCATCTCATTTTTCATAATGATTTTCAGGGACATACTTTGTCAGCAGGTCAGAAGAACATAAACTAGCTGTTGTTGACATTATTAGGCTAAGACTTCAGTAGAGGAAAGGAGCTGTTTACTTGTTAGCACAACCCATATCCATTTTATTACTAAGCCATTAAAAAGGTCATAAACTTTGTACACGAACATTAGAGTGAAGTTTTGGCTTTTAACACAGCACTCAAAACTTGCACGTATGTGTAAAATACAGATGGCAATTCAGCAAGTCTGCTGTCCCCGCAGTTGATGTTTAAAAAACTCCCATGTTATCTATACAAACGCTGATATCTGTGGGCTGCACTTTTAGGAAGGCCTAAAGCTGTGAATTAGGTTTTGACAACCCACACAGATGTGTATTAAGTCCTTAAAATTGTCACAAAAGATAAAAGTTATGTAATGACTTAAAAAATTGGTGAATCAGAGGTGCAGGCTGGTCTTGAAGGCTTCAAATTAAAGTTCAGAATTTCCATGAAAGAGTTTTGTCTCATGTAAATACAGAAGATTGATGTTTTTAAACAGACAGTTAAGCATTTCATGCCATCCACAACCTTATTAAACAATGTCTTTTTCTCATGAGTATGTATAATAGCCATTCTGATTTTTTTGTTAAAAGTGAATTTTCAAATATTACAGATATATTTTGTCTAAATGAATCTTCTCAGTTATGGGACTTCATTATTTTACTAATGAATATTGAAAACTATCCCTAAGTAAGAACAATTTGTCAGTAAAGTTAGTGCCATAAGGAGTCATATATCTGACAGATGTGACTTGTTTTACTGAAGACAGGTGACTTTGCTGTTACATGGTTGAAAATTCCTATTTCATTGTAAAATGGAACTTAAGTGTTGAGTAATTTGATTCTCTAAAAATGAGTTTTTCTTGGCATTTTGTTAAGACAATTTTCCACACATATTTTAAGTAATCTTTTTTTGGATGAGAACTGAGGACACTCATCCAAAGCACTTAGAAAAGGTAGATAAAGTTAAGTAATGGGTTTCTAAAAAGGACTAACAAAACTTACTGATTGCTTGATCTGTGAAACATCTGGGTTTCATGGTTTCTGATGGCCCAACTAAATATGTCTATTATGTGCTAGGCTTTGTATATTGTGTTTTGATAGTATCCATTAAAAATGGAGTCATTTGAATTTGAAAGTCTGTAGATGACTAACAGTAATAATAGTCTAGCAGAAGTAAGAGTGTTTACTCAGTTCTTAAAATGAGTGTTAGATTTTACAGTGTGGTCTTAAACTGTTTTTTCCTTTTTATTCCAAGCCTTTCACCGAAGAACAACTAAAACTAAGCAGAAGTGTCAAGCTGTAAATGCTTACGCCCCTGAAATACACCATGAGAATAAAAAATAAGCTCCCCTTTATCTGAGAGTATAAAATTGAAGGCAGTATGTTAATGTGACACTGGAAGAAAACATAGCTTTTTAGAAGAGGGGAAAACACATAGCTTTTTAGAAGAGGGATAGACAGGCTTATGTAATTTGAAAAAGCTGGCAGCCAGTGGTCCCTGAGAATTATTTCAGTATGTAGCACAGTTCCATAATCGATGTTCATGAATGCCTTGAGTAGTTATTAAAAGGTAAACATTTAATACTCTGCGCCCTTAAAAAGTGGTAAACAAAACAGTGTTATTTCTTAAATGTATGAACTGCCTAAAGCTAGGAAGTTCATTTCCAAATGTCAAGGAACTGGAAGTGAAATATAGTGCAGTAGCTATTTTGATACTTATTGAATAACAAGTTTCTAAAATTTTTATTTTTGTAGAATTGAGTTTTCTAAGAAAAAATGAATTGAAAACAGTCAGTTTCGAGTATAAAAACTAAGGTGTCCATCTTTACCTAGTAAGTTTTTATGGAGTGGGATTGACGAACTGCATGCAGCCTACCACCTGTTTTTCATACGTCTATTAGCTAAAAGTGGTTTTTACATTTTATTAAATGATTGAGAAAATCAAAATATATTTTCTGGCACATGAATATGAAATTAAGATTTCAGTGTCTATAAATTAGGTTTTGGGACACAGCCATGCTTATGTACGTAGCATCTTCACCTGCTTTATGACTTCAGAGTGACAGATTGTATGTCCTATAACAACATATTTACTATCCCTTTATGTAAAGTTTGCTTATCTGTTATAAAAGATAGTTTTTGTTCATATAAGGCATGTAATCAATTTGGTTATTTGCTCCTAGCTCACAGAGTGAGGATTCCTTACTGATACTGCTGTTACTTAGATTGTACTTTGTAAGGTGAGTTCCCCTGATTGTGTTATTTTTCTCAAATACACATACACTAGGAGATACTAGTACTTTTTTAGGTACACTTTTTTCCTCCTACTTAAAGTATAGTTGTGTACTTGCCATGGATATTAAGAGATCTTGATGTATGAGGGAAAGGCATCTGGCACTAATTGGGTAGCTCACACCTGTGAAATAAATTGGGGCTTTGGGGAGTTTTCTTTCGGTGTTGGTGAGTAAATGGGTTGCTTTCAACCTAAATGCTACCTCCTGTGGATAGACTTGACTAATATGCACTTAGAAAATGAGAAGCCAAATCAGCTGTGTAATAGCCCTGTAATATTTTTGTTCCCATCACTTGATAAACTCTGAGAGCTTAGTTTTACATTCAGAAAGTATTTATATTTGATAAGTCAGATGATTGAAGTTGAAACGTTGAAACTGCACAGAAGTACCTGTTTACTCCTCAGCTAACATTAGCAGGGAAAATAGGGTGCAGGCAGATGTTTTTGTATGATGCTTTATGCAGTGTAGGAAGCAGGTAGACCTATACTCAGTGTATTTTCAGGTTCATTAATACTGGTGGAGGGAGGGGGAGAGTGAGCCACAGTAAAACCTTTCATGATCTATTGAGAGTTGACTGTTAACACTTGCCAATTGAAACTGGATATTAAACATTTTTAAGGAAATGCACTTTAATCTGAAATAAAACTATAAAAACAACCATTCTAATACTTGTTTTTGTTTGGTTTCTTCTTTTTTTTTTTTTCTCAGGGAGACCTGAAATGGGTACACATGGCATAATTATATGTCAACATGAAACGAACATTACCCTCCACAAACATAAGCCATAAAGATTCTTGCCCCATTTTATGGCTGGATTTTAACTGTAGAATTTATCTTTGATACATAGTTTTATGGGTTCCACACAGTACTAAGTACATACGTTTAAAGAATGAAACGGAGGTGGTGAAAGCCCCACTATATTGGTTCACTACAGCTGCTGTAACAGCCACAAACTAAGTGGCTTAAACAGAGTTGTCTCAGATGTGCAGGCTGGAAGTCTAAGGCAAGGTGCGAACAGGTTGGTTCCTTCTAGGGCTGTGCAGAAGACTTACTGCCTCGACCATAACTCTTGTTTGCCGGCAGTAATGGTCAGCGTGGGTGTGCGTCTCTGTCCCAATTTCCATTTATTTTTTTCAGTGTATATAGATAAAGTTTATTGTAACAGTGACATTTACTTTTTCAGGATTACTGAGAAGTAACTGACACATTTCTGTAAGTTTTAGGTACATAACATGATGGCTTACTTTACATATGTTGTGAAGTGATTACCACAATGACCTCAACTAACATCCATCTTATATAGATGCAATAAATAGGAAAGAAGAAAATTGAAAAAAATGTTTCTTTAATGAGAACTTTAAGGATTTACTCTATTAACTTGCCTACATATCCTACACCAGTGTCAGCTATAGTCATGCTGTACAGCACAGCCCCAGTACTTAACATGAAACTGAATGTAGCTTTTGACCACCTTCCTCCAATTCCCCTCCCCGTCTGCTCCACCTCTGGTAACTATTTCTATTAAGGTATCATTGATCTGCAATCTTATAAAGATTTCATATGAGCACCATTGTGGTTACTAATATTCACCCATATTATCAAGTCTGCCCCTAAGCTGCTGTAGAGTCAGTACTTCTCTTCCCTGCACTATTCTGCCTTCCCTGTGCCCCTCTACATTGTATGTGCTGATCATAATATCCCTTAATCCCCTTCTCCCTTACTCCCCACCCCCTTTCCCTTTGGTAACCACTAGTCCCTTCTAGAAGTCTGTGAGTTTGCTGCTGTTTTATTCCTTCAGTTTTGCTTTGTTAAACTCCACAAATGAGGGAAATAATTCGGTACTTGTCTTTCTCCACATGGCTTATTTCACGGAGCATAATACCCTCCAGCTCCATCCATGTTGTTGCAAATGTTAGGATTTGTTTTCTTTTTATGGTTGAACAATATTCCCTTGTATATATGTACCACCCCTTCTTTATCCATTCATCTACTGATGGAACTTAGGTTGCCTCTGTAGCTTGGCTATTTTAAATAGTGCTATAAACAGGGGTGCATATGTCTTTTTGAATCTGGGATCTTGTTTTCCTTTGGTAAATTCCTAGGAGTGGAATTCCTGAGTCAAATGGTAGCTCTATTTTTAGTCTTTTAAGGAACCTCCATATTGCTTCCCACAATGGTTGAACTAATTAACATTCTCACCAACAGGATAGGAGAGTTCTCCTTTCTCAGCATCCTTGCCAGCATTTGTCTTTTAGATGTTGGCCATCCTAACAAGTATGAGGTGATATCTCATTGTGGTTTTTAATTTGCATTTCCCAGATAATTAGTGATGTGGAGCATCTTTTCATGTGCCTGTTGGCCATCTGAATTTTTTCTTTGGAGAAGTGTCTGTTCAGATCCTCCACCCATTTTTTTAATTGGGTTATTTGCTTTTGGGTGTTGAGGCATGTGAGTTCTTTATACGTTTTGGATGTTGACCCCTTATCGGATATGTTCTTTATGAATATATTCTCCCATGCAGTAGGCTGCCTTTTTGTTTTACTGATGGTGTCCTTTGCTACACAGAAGCTTTTGAGTATGATGTAGTTCCATTTGTTCATTTTTGCTTTTGTTTCCCTTGCCTGAGGAGATGTGTCCAGATAAAAGTTGCTCATGTTTATGTTCAAGAGATTTTTGCCTGTTTCCTTCTAAGAGTTTTATGGTTTCATGAATCACATTCAGGTCTTTGATCCATTTCAAGTTTGTAGTTAGACAAAAATAATCCAATTTCGTTCTCTTACATGTAGCTGTCCAGTTTTGCCAACACCAGTTGTTGAAGAGCTGTCATTTCCCCATTGTATATCCATGGCTTCTTTATGATATGTTAATTGGCCATATATGTATGGGTTTATATCTGGACTCTCTTCTATTCCATTGCTATGGGTCTGTTTTTGTACCAGTACTAAATTGCCTTGATTACTGTAATTTTGTAGTAGAGCTTATAGTACATACACCCAGCTGTATCCTTACTTCTCAGGATTGCTTTGGTTATTCTACTTGTTTTACTGAAGACAGGTGACTTTGCTGTTACATGGTTGAAAATTCCTATTTCATTGTAAAATGGAACTTAAGTGTTGAGTAATTTGATTCTCTAAAAATGAGTTTTTCTTGGCATTTTGTTAAGACAATTTTCCACACATATTTTAAGTAATCTTTTTTTGGATGAGAACTGAGGACACTCATCCAAAGCACTTAGAAAAGGTAGATAAAGTTAAGTAATGGGTTTCTAAAAAGGACTAACAAAACTTACTGATTGCTTGATCTGTGAAACATCTGGGTTTCATGGTTTCTGATGGCCCAACTAAATATGTCTATTATGTGCTAGGCTTTGTATATTGTGTTTTGATAGTATCCATTAAAAATGGAGTCATTTGAATTTGAAAGTCTGTAGATGACTAACAGTAATAATAGTCTAGCAGAAGTAAGAGTGTTTACTCAGTTCTTAAAATGAGTGTTAGATTTTACAGTGTGGTCTTAAACTGTTTTTTCCTTTTTATTCCAAGCCTTTCACCGAAGAACAACTAAAACTAAGCAGAAGTGTCAAGCTGTAAATGCTTACGCCCCTGAAATACACCATGAGAATAAAAAATAAGCTCCCCTTTATCTGAGAGTATAAAATTGAAGGCAGTATGTTAATGTGACACTGGAAGAAAACACATAGCTTTTTAGAAGAGGGGAAAACACATAGCTTTTTAGAAGAGGGATAGACAGGCTTATGTAATTTGAAAAAGCTGGCAGCCAGTGGTCCCTGAGAATTATTTCAGTATGTAGCACAGTTCCATAATCGATGTTCATGAATGCCTTGAGTAGTTATTAAAAGGTAAACATTTAATACTCTGCGCCCTTAAAAAGTGGTAAACAAAACAGTGTTATTTCTTTAATGTATGAACTGCCTAAAGCTAGGAAGTTCATTTCCAAATGTCAAGGAACTGGAAGTGAAATATAGTGCAGTAGCTATTTTGATACTTATTGAATAACAAGTTTCTAAAATTTTTATTTTTGTAGAATTGAG